TCTGGGCTTTCTTGGGAGCCTCTTCGGCCGTCTTGGAGCGATCTGAAGGGCCTCTGACGCCGTCCGGGACCGTGGGCAGGCGGAACATGGGAGAGCGCAGAAATGCTTCAAAACCATCGGTAATGGATGGTTATCGGCCTTTGGGGCCCTTTGGAAAGCCTGTGGAGGCGTTCTTGGGGCGTTTGGGCGGCGGTCGGCCGTCCGGAGGCCATCTTCGGCGTGTCCAGGGCCTCTGGGGGCTGTCTTGGAGTCTTGGCAATATTTAGGACCCTGTTGGCGTGTCGTGGCGTGTCTGGGAGCGGGCCCGGGCAGTCCTGGGAGCATGGAACCCCACCAATCCCCCCGTGGGGGGGTACGGCACCGACCCGGGCCCCCCCCGGCCTACTCCGATATATATATATATATATATATATATATATGTGTGTGTACACACATACATACACACATACATACACACATACATACATGCATACATACATACATATATACATACATACATACATACATACATACATACATACATACATACATACATGCATGTATAACTACATACATACATACATACATACATACATACATACATACATACATACATACATGCATACATGCATGCATACATGCATACATACATGCATGCATGCATGCATGCATGCATGCATGCATGATACATACATACATGCATGCATGCATGCATGCATACATACATGCATGCATACATACATACATATACATATACATATACATATAGATATACATATACATATACATATACATACCTACGTACCTACATACATACACATGCGTACATACACACATTCATTCATACACACATACATACATGCAAACAAACAAACAAACCTACATACATACACATACATGCATACATACATACATACACACACAGACAAATGTACATATATAGTCAAATATATTTGCGCATGCACATTATACATATACTCAACGGGACGACGGCCGATTCCCCCCGGCTACAATCGATGCGGACGCCTATTGTAACGGAGTTGTCGATGTTGGTCGTGCTCCTTGTGTCGAGAGGCTCATCACCTCGATGCACACATCAATCTCTCACTTCCCTCGCGAGCGGCAGCTCCAGAAGTTTGTGCACATGATTGGCATCAGACTGCGCGGCGCTTGTTTTAAAACGCGTGGCCAATGATCGGCCGCGATGTTAGGCCTTGTTCAGTCATGGCAAGATTTGCGAAAACCGGTCAATCCTTGCGACGAGTCCTTAAGCCCTGCTGCGCTTTGCTGAGCCGTGGTCAACCCTGCTAGGCCCTGACAAGCCTTGTTGAGCCCGACTGACCCCTGCTGGGCACTGCTGAATCCTGACAAACTCTGCAAAGCCCTGCTTTGTCCTGGCGCGCCCAGCTGACGCCTGATAAGTTGCGCCGTGTTCAAGCCCAGCAAAGCTTGGCGAGCCTGGCCAAGCCCAGCTAAGCTTGGCAAGCCTGGTAAACCTTGCGAATCATTGGTCTGGGCCTTGCCCAGACTTGGCAAAGTTTGCAAGGCCCTGCTAATCCTTGCGAGGCCTTGAGCCCTGCGGAACATTGCCGAGCCCTGCGGAGCATTACGAAGGTCTGGTTAGCAGTGCGAGTCTTCGGTGAGCCCTGCTAAAGCCGTGCGAACGTTGAAACCAAAAGCGAGACTGAGCCTGCCATGCGCTCGCTAGCATTGGCCAGCTCTGCTAAGCCCAACTAAGGTTTGGTACGCCTTGCTGAGCACTGGCGAACTTAGGTAAGCTTTGCTTAGCTCTGGTGAGCTCTGCTGAGCCCTGTGACGCGCGGTAAGCCTTGCAAAATAAGCTCACGTGGGCTTCGTAAACTTAGCAAAGCCCAGGTAAGTCTGGCGAGCCTTGCTTAAGTCTTGCTAAGCCCTGGAAAATGTCGTTCAGCCTATCCAAGCCCTGGTAGACCCTGCTAAGCCATGCTCGCCTCTGCTTAGCAGTGTCACTTCTGGGCGATCTCCGCCAAGCATTGCTAAGCCTTGCCAAGCCCCCCTGCTCAGCCTTGGCAAGATGTGCTAAGCCAGGGCGGCACACATCAGAGCCGCATATTGTTGGAAGCCGCCAGCGACCGAACCAGCGCACCGCGCTTGGCTGGCGAAGCCTGCGCAGTGACCTCCTCTGGAAGGGGAACACAAAGAGGCATCGCGCGCGGGCCTCCTTGACGACCCTGCTCTTGCCTGCCGCCCACCGGCATTATGAATTTGCACAGTCGCAGACCACCGCCCGCCTGCACTGCACTCTGGATTGGCCTGCCGCCCACGTGCACTTTCGATTGGCGCGCCTTGGACACAAGAAAAAGCTGCAGGCGGTGGGGGGCGAGCGGACGGGGTCGGAGCCGTGAGCCCACTCTGGCCACCTCCGCACCTCGTCCCCCTTGAACGATTCCCCCCCGCTTGGGACCAAACGGGGAGTACGACGACAGGGGGGGAGGAACAACAAAAACTTACATGTTCTACATTTGTGTTATCCCCCCCCCCTTGGGGTCGCACTTCCCCTCCCCCACTGGCCTCGAATCGGGAGGGGGGGGTTGGGCTGTGAGGGAGCTGGGGGATAGGGACAGAGAGCACGTGTAACCCTGCATTCTTGGGTCCTGGCCAAGACGAACGTGGGTCGAAGACTCCCGCAACACGACCCCCCCAGAGGAACGTCTGGAAGCGTTTAAGGCTGACCAAACCCCGCAAAAAAAAACTTTGCATTCTAGTAGGGAGGGGGAACAGGCTAGAACCCATACGTACATTCACGTCGCCCGCCCCAGTAAACCCACACAGTGCGCATCTCTTGTAAGGCTGGCATCTACTTGCGTTCCCGTCTTACTCCACCGGCTTCCGCCGAGACAGAGATGGCAACCTCTGGACCACCCGACTACGAGGGCCTATCGGTAGCGCCACATGTGTGAATATCTGCTCATGCCGCCGCGATTTGGACATCCTTGCCGACCCCCGCTTGACTGGGGTGGGAAGGCGTATGAAATCGGCTGTCTCGCCCCCCCTGCTCCGCCCCCTGCCAAAGGTTCCAAATCCCATGCACCCGACACAAATGTCGACGGCCATAGCACGGCGCCACACTCGACCGGAGGTCTCGACCCATTCCCCTGGGAGCCTAAGGGGCCCGACGAGCCTAACAAGCCCCAAAGCTGGTCAAGATGGCTCAAGCTCGTCTTCAGGAGGCCTCACTGTGGCCGACTGTGGCCCTGAAAGGCCAGGGCAGGGCCCGCGGGGGCCCTGGGGTGGCTGCAGAAGTGACCCCAAGAGGTTACCAGATGCTCCAAGATGGCTCCACGAACGGCCCCTGATCATCAAAACTTGGGATTCTAAATCTGTCGCCGCGCCTGTGGCTCTGAACGCGCCCGAAAAGACGATCTCCGACACCGCCGCAAACCCACGGCAAACCCTGCGTCCGAGGCGGAGTTTGCCCGGGTGGCCGAGATGGTCCCCCCAAGGCGAGCACCAGCGCCTCCAACAATGCTCCAAACTGGCCTCCAAGACGGCCACGCGACGATCCATAACCGTTTTAAGACCCCCCACTCCTGACCGCTTACCTCGCTCGGTTTGCTCGTCCTGTTTCTACCCTCAAGTCGGGCGTGTCCCCCTACAGGGGTATTTTAGATGAAAGATAAAAAGTACTCAAAAATCACTCCAACATAATCAAAAAATCCACAAAAAGGAGTCCCCTGACTATTGTTGGACTATTTTTGAATTTTCCCCCTGTAGAGGGACAGGCCCGACTTAATCCTACCCCTCAACCACCTCATCGTCAGACCCATCATCACCAACATCATCCTCCCCTGCCCCCCCTCACACCGACATTCTCAACTCATCATTGTGTTCCTTGTCCTCCGTCTCCTGACCCAACCACCCCGAGTAATCCTCGCTGCGCGCAAACATATGATCTTCCTTATTCAGTCGTCCTTATTTTGAGCATCTTTCCCAAACAGTGCTCGCACTTAGGGTTTCTTACTTCTTGTTCGAGGAACTGGGCCAGTGCGCGGGTCAAGCGGCTATGTGGTCGCCGTCGCCGCCCAGTCGCCGCCCCGTCGCCGCCCGTCGTCCCTGCCTGCGCGCTGGTCTGCCGGCTATGTTGTCGCCGTCGCCGCCCCGTCGCCGACTCTTTGCGATTATTTGCGCTGCTTTACTTTGATTTGTATTGCTCTACATTGGTTTGCCTTGCTGTGCCTTGCCTTGGATTGCTTTGCTTTGCGTTGCTTGGAATTGCCTGGCAGTGCTTTGCCATGCGTTTCACTGCTTTCCATTGTCTTGCATTGCGTTGCATTGCGTTGCATTGCGTTGCATTAAGTTGTGATCAGGTTCCCTGCTTTTTATTGTTCTGCATTGCTTTGCAGTGCTTGTCATTGCTTTGCGTTGCTGTGTACTGCTTTGTATTCATGCGCATTGCATTGTATTGCTTTACGCTGCGTTGCATTCCATTGATGTGCATTGCTTTCTTTGCGTTGCTCCGCGCTGTTTCACCTTTGGTTTGCATGTCGTTGCCTTCCTTTGCAGTAGGTGCGCATTCCTTTCAATTCGCCGTGCTTTGCATTCAATTCGCCGTGCTGTGCATTGCGCTGCACTGGTTTACAGTGCGTGTCACTGACTGTCATGGCTCTGCTCTGCTGCGCACTTGCGTTGCACTGCGCTGCTTTGTACTGCTATGTACCACGCAGATCACACAACATAGCTTTCTTCACATTGATTGCATTGCCTGGGTTGCTCAACATGAATTGTTAGGAACACACTGTTTGGAGCGGGCGATGGCCAACACTTGACTTTTAGTTAGGCTACGTCTTTACGACGTTCGTACTCCTCCTCGCTCCGCCTCCGCCGCCGCCTCCTGAATCCTCCTCGTCCGCATATGCATACAAATAAAAGAAATCACAGGTGGGGCCATACCCCTGGGGTTTGTTCCTCCTCTCCCCCTCCCCCCCTGGCATTTCGCCTCCCCACCCGGCTTCCAGCCAAATCATCTTGCACCCCCCGAGAGCCAGAGGAAGCACAGAGACCACCAGCAGCTGCACCCGCGCGCGGGGATGGGGACGGCGCTGAACTGCCCCATCCCCGCACCGACGTACTGGTAGTTGGCGGTGAGCGCGTAGTCCTGGGGAGGGCGCCAACACACACCTCGCCATCGCTCGGACGTCCATTCTCCGTGCGTTGTTCGGTTTCGTGCGTGTATTTCTTGTAGGATGATCCAATCTGCTCTTCGATGGCACTCGCCGCGCAAAAAGATGCACACGTCCGAGCGATGCCAAGACACACAAACCACCAAGCCAGGCCCGACGCATCCCCTGTCAAGGACTGGCTCGCCAGGGATACAATCAAATCGTGTATTAAGGACGGGTGGCAGGGACGCAAGACCCTTGGAGGCCGAAGTTGGCTTTTTGGGTGGCGGGCGACCAATGAAGACGACAAAAGACGGGCCGCAGAGGCAAGGACACAAGGGAACCCTAGATGAAGTCGCGCGCCCATACTAGGCGCGTTGACTGTATGAATGCCTCTCCGCCCCCCGAGGGCGGAAAGCCGAGAACGGGGCACGTCCGCCCCCCAAGGCGGAACATCGACCCGAGAAATCACCACGTCGAACTTTACCCGGGGATCCTCGGACGCACGCCCCCCAGGGCCGGTGGATGTGGGCAGGTCCGAGGCGCGAGAGGATCGGTGGGTGGCGGTGGGTACAGCGTGCATCCCCCCGACAGTCCCCGACGCCGGTGTAGCCCATGGCGTAGCCCGACACGCCCCCGCAGCAGCTGGAGCCCCCCGCGCAGCCCGTTGCGCCGCAGCACGAGTCGACGCCGCACGGCCCGTCCTCGCAAATGCCGCCGCCATGGGCGCCTGGCCCCACGGGCGAGTAGCCGTAGCCACCGGCGCCGCCCGCAAAGCCGCGGTGATAGCCAGCCATCGGTGCGTCACGCTGCTGTCCGACTCCGGGGCTCGCCCTGCCGCCAAGCAGGTAGCTCGAGCCGGGGCGGCCACGGAGAATTCGCGGCACGAGAGGGCTTAGAGTGGGGGGATCGAGAGGAGCAGGACGAGGAAGAGCGAAGAGTCAACCTCCCTCCGATGCCGCCATGTGGGCTCTCGCCTAGTTGAAGCCCAGATGCCACTAGCTTTTCGCCCTGAGTCTGGGGGAGCAGAGAGATACCCATACCGCTACTCACTGTACTTTCCCTGAGGCCCACTGGGGTGGGTTCTGACCGAAATTTCAAGGGGAATCCAGCCGTGGCGACGAGGGAAGGGCATGGGCATCGGTGCCCTCTCCTCGCCTGAGGGTCGTCCCCGCAGGCCAGACATGGCGAGCAGCCTCGGGTGCGACTTCTGTCTGGACTGGTCGCGCCCGCCAGGCTGCCGCTCCAGCTCCGGACGACGAGTGCGCCACGCGTGGCTCAACACGCAGCAGGATCTGTGTTGGCTTCGGCCTCCGAGTGCGCCAGCCATGGCGCCCACCCTTGGCGGGCTGCTCTGTTTTCGGGCGCCGGGCGCGCAATCCCTGACGCAAGCAACCGCAATCCGTGCTACTCTCGGCCTCTGTGGGCCCCGGAAACGGCAGGGCCGTTTTTTCACCGTTTCCATAAACATGCCCATTGAAAATGGAAACGGCAAAAAAACGGCGACCGGAAACGGCAAAAAAACGGCTCCAGGATCGGAACTGGAGCCGGAACCGGTCAAAAAACAACGACGGAACTGGTAAAAAAACGGCGTCGGAACCGGCAAAAAAACGGCAAAACGGAACCGGTAAAAAACTGCCCTGTCGTTTCCAGGGCCCACTAAGCTCTCGGCCGCCACCAATAGCACGCCATTGTAGCCTCGGCCACCGAGCTTCGGCCTCGAGCGTGCTCGGTTCTCCCGCTAATTACCCTGGACGGGGTGCTTACCCAAAGCGGGGGGGGGAATGACCTTCCAACTGAGTTTGCCTTCCTCCCCCTCCTCCTCCTCCTCCTCCTCCTCCTCCTCCTCCTCCTCCTCCTCCTCCTCCTCCTCCTCCTCCATCCTCCCCACCCACCCGTTCCGACAGCATGTGCCCCTCCCCTCCCAGCGGATCCAACGGGTGCTGGTCAGTGCCCCATCCAGAGTGCCCCTTCCTCCGAAGCCTGCCCCTTCGGCAACACCAGGCTGGAGCGAGGACCAGACACCACCGAGAGCCTCCAGCGCTGGAGCTGACCTGGGCCCGCCCTCACGGCAGCCGGACCATGCCTGGGGCAACAGGCGGCCGCCTGGGACATTCCCGCTCTCCCCCGACAAACCCCTCGACGAGGCGCAGCTGGCGCAAGGCGCCCAGGGCCCCGAAAGGCCCCCAGAGCCCCCGAGAACCCGCAGGAACTCCCGAAGACCTCCCGGCGCCTGGGCGGCCCGTCCTCCCCCCCGTCGGCCCCCACAGCCGTCGTGCTCCCCGCGCCCTCACCGGCGGTCGAAAGAGTGGGCCCCGAGAGACGGGAGGGCACTCTTTCATTCGCGGCGGTAGCGGGCGTCAGGAGGGGGGGAAGGGGGGGGCAGCCCCCCAGTGCCGGACGCACTGGGCCGGTGCCATTGCTGGGGCCGCACTGGGGGGGGGGGGGCGAGGGCGTTGCGTCATTGGGGGGGGAAGGGGGGGGAAGGGGGAAGCATAACGCACGATATTGCTTAGAGAACGAAAGATGCACTCTGCGGCCCTCGGAAGAGGGAGGGACTCAAACATTGCAGACTCACAAAATGTGAAAACCGCGCAACTACTCACTAAGGCATCTGGACCCTGACCCATGGGGCTTCGCGGAAACAACTCGGGACAACATGTAATAATGTATAGTTGTCTGGCGGGTTCTCTGAGAGACCGCTGCCGAAACAAACATATACTGTGTTAGTGCAGCACATGTGCTACTAAGTGGTGGACAGTCATAACGTAGTACAGTGAACATGCTACTGGCCCCCACGAGGGTCACGAACGGCGAACGTGTCCATAGGTCTGGGTTCTGGTGTGCGATCCTCTGGATACGCGGTCGCATGGTTGCGTCCAGCGCTGGGCATCCGCGCAGAAACGCTCCGCATCCACGGGGTCGCGGCCCAGGGGGGGAGCCCCCGCGAGGCCGTGGGTATGGATTTGTTTCTCGCTTACGAACTAGGAGGAACAAACAACTGCGTAAACGAAATTGCTCTGAAGTCCGCGCAAAGTTCTTGCGTCTGCGCAGGACCCCCCTCCCCCGGCGCGCGGAGCGCGCCAGGGGCGGATCCGGAGGCGACGCCAGGGGGGCACAGCGCAAATCCAAGGCATCTGCGCGGAGCTCCAACGATTTATTCTAATCGGGGAGACGTAAGGCTCGGGTTCCAGGGCCTGGGGTTGGCCTGACGGGGCCGTCAAGCAAATGACCAGACCTGGTCTGGACTTTAAGGCGGCCTCTCGCTGCAAACACCCCACGGAAACTGGACCGTCACAAATTCAGAGCGGACCCGCCACAACGCATCGGAAAATCCGATTTCCAGCAAACTCGAGCCACGTTTCCTCGAATCTGGGCGCCCCAACGCAGATCCCAGAAATCCGCGCGAAGCTCCAACAAATTAGGATTATGCAAATTCCTCTTCTTCGATTCCCATCCCTTCGGGGTCCCAAATCCCCGTGGTGACGGGCACCGTGGTGACCTCGGAATCCCCAAACCTCACCGCGCGGTCCGTCACCGCAAGGTCTTGGGCCCCTGGGAGTCCCAGTCGCCCGCGGCATCCTCGCAGAACGACCCAAGTCCAACAACCGTGCGGCGATCTCGAATCCCCACAGGCTCACCACGCGGCGTGCCCCCTCCCCCCCTGCCTCCTCGCACGCGGCTCGGAATGAGCTCGCAGGTCATCGCACCTTTGGCTCAGCCTGCTGGAGCAGCTTAGCGCGGGAGGCACGCGCATGCAACTGCAACATGCTCTGACCCAGGAGTCCATAAGATCGAGCTATACAAATACAAACTCAACGCAGAACTTGGACGGCCAGGAGCCCCTGTCCTCCCTCCCGGACTCCTCCTCCTCCTCATCCTCATCATCCTCATCATCAAAGTCAACATGAACCAAAACATCATCATCATCATCATCATCATCATCATCATCATCATCATCATCATCATCATCATCATCATCAGCATCAGCATCAGCATCAGCATCAGCATCATCATCATCATCAGCAGCAGCATCATCATCATCCTCATCATCATCACCAGCATCAGCATCAGCATCAGCATCAGCATCAGCATCAGCATCAGCATTATCATCAGCATCAGCATTCTCATCATCACATGAGCATCATCATCGAAATCTGCGTCATCATGATCATGATCATCATGATCATCATCATCGTCAGCATCATCATCATCATCATCACCATCATCATCATCATCATCATCCTCAGCATCCTCATCATCATCGTCATCGTCATCGTCAGTATCATCATCAGCAGCATCAGCACCAACATCAGCGTCAACATCAGCATCATCATCAGCAGCATCATCAGCAGCAGCATCAGCTTCAGCATCAGCATCAGCATCAGCATCAGCATCAGCATCAGCATCAGCATCATCATCATCATCATCATCATCATCATCATCATTACCATCATCATCATCATCATCATCATCATCATCATCATCATCATCATCATCATCCTCATCATCCTCATCATCATCATCATCATCATCATCATCATCATCATCATCATCATCATCATCATCATCATCATCGTCAGCATCATCATCCCCTTCATTTTCTCCGTATTCCCCTGAGGGTCTCTGGAAGTCTCCCGAGATATACAAATCTGCAGAGGCTTCCAGGGGGCACCAAACATGACATATACAATCCCAAGCATCTCTCCTCCTCCTCCTTCTCCTCCCCCTGCTCCTCCTCGGTCTCCTCCTCATGCTCCTGGCACCTGGCACCTGGTGGCATGAATGTTCGTCAGAACGCTGCCTCCCCCTTCTGCTCCCTCTCGTCCTCCTCCTCGGCCTCCTCCTCCTCCTCCTCCTCCTGCTCCCCCTCCCTCCTCCTCCTCATCACCATCCCCGCCTCCATTCCTTCTCGTTTAAAATGGCTCCTCCCTGTCGCACCCCGAAAATGTCGGAAGGGAGGGCCGGCCGTTCCGCCCGAGACTTCCTCACCATGTATGATGCTTAACCTGGGAATTTGCAACCATGCCACAGGTGATCGCCGATCAAAACGAGTTTTGTCCACGAAATCACGTAGAGACCTTACACGGTGGCTTACGCGGACCGCCGGCGCGGCACTCCACATTGGAGACGTCCAGGGACTGGTGTTCTGGCACGGCTCAGGATTTTCAAGCGGTTGTCTGCCAAAAGGGCATTTCCATCAGTGCAGATGCCTTGTATGGACCTATCAAGAAGGAAATTGGAGTGAGAATTCATTGCAAGATCGTTGATGGGTCTTGGGTTTGCACTGGTCCTCCTCCTCCTCCTCCTCGTCCTTCTCCTCAACCTGCTCCTCCTCCTCCCCCGTCTCCTCCATTTCCTCATCCTCCATCTTCATTTCCTCCTCATACTGATCCTCCTTCGCCTCACCCTCCTCCAGTTCCTCCTCCTCCTCCTGCTCATCCTCCTCCGTTTCCTCCTCCTTCTCCATTCCCTCTTCCTCCTCCTCCTCCTCATCCTCCTGCTCCTTCTACTCCTCCTCCTCCCACTCTTCGAACCGCCACCCCTCCCCCTCCGCCGCCGCTGCGCAGCAGCTCGGGGCCTTCTCTCCAGCGCCGCCGCGCCCTGCTGCGGCGTGCGGCGTGGCCATGGCCGTCTCCACCCTCGAGGGGGGGGGAGGGGGGAAATCTGCTGCATGGCGCTGCAACACCGCGGCCGGGCGCGTTAGGAGCCCATGCATTCAATACTCGCGATAACGCCCGGGCCCCTCCCCTCCCTCCCCCCATCTGGTCACTTCACGACGACTTGCGCCGGCGCCGTGTGAGAATCAGCAATTCCTCGGCCATTCCCAGACGGCGCTGGAGCGAATCGTGACATGACCGGCCCCTTCCCCGCCTCCCCCCGCCTGGTCACGACCGTTGTCGCGAGGGGATACAGAACAGTCTGGTGGGAATTCTTCGTGGGAATGGGAACGACTAAGGGCTACGTTGAGGTAGTGGGATGAGGAATCAAGGGTCTCGAATCCAGTGGACCTCCAATCGTGGATTGACCATGGGTATCACTGACACCCTCATCAGGTAAGGCACCAACCATGGTCTGAAGCCTCCTTTGCACACTCCTTGACCAATGCCCCCACCGTGTTAGGCCTGGTGAAGGGGCCATGAATCCGGACTAGCCAGATTAACTACGACCAATATTAAAACCGATGAAGCGGGATTTCGCGGGATTCTACCAAAGTTTAGCGATGAAAAGCATGGCGCTGCCACTTCTACTGCTACAGCGCATTGTTCTGGAGCGGGGGGCGAAAAAGGAAGGGCAGGGAACTCCCGAGTCACAGCCATGTCACCCACAGCCTGCCGGTCCCGCTGCATGATCCCGTCCCTGGACTCGGGTATCGAGGCACATGCTTGTGTCACGGCATCGGTGCAGGAATGGCAACTGGGCGACGATCAAGAAGGCGTCTTACGCGAGATGGCATGGCGCCCTTACACGGCGGCGTTCGCGGGCCGCCATCGCGGCACGCCACATTCGAAGCGGGGCCGCTTACGCGCGACCTGACGCGGGTAGCGTACGCGCCGCCCTTCCCGTGGTCTTCTCTTGAATCAGACTGCTCTCAGCAAGGAGGCCCCATGTCATCCGGGCTTCAGCATTTGCTCTCTGACGGCGCGACTCAACTGGTGAAGCCAGGGATCCTGTCGGATACGTCCTGTGCATCGGGTAGCAGGGCTCTCCAATCAGAACATGTTCCAATTCGTTGGGCTTGATTGCTCATTCCCTCGAGCGCGCTAAGCACACCCGCACAGGCAGGACAGGGGAGGAGGAGAGGAGCATCAGTTGCCCGCAGGAAGACGAGAGGGGTGAGGATGAGGGTGAGGGTGAGAGTAATCACTACTTCGCCGCCTCCATGAGCGGCCCGCTGGGATCTGGGGCCGGGGCCTGCAGCGTCTGGGGTCTGAGGTCGGGGCCCCAGCCTCCAATTAGGGGCCTGGGGTCTGCGGCGGGGGGCCCGGGGGGCGGGGCCGCATGGAGGCCCCTGTGCTCCCGAGGGGCCTGCCGGCTCTGGCATCGAAAGGACGGGCAGTGCCCGTCGCAGGGCCCTCGGAACCAGGACTCTTGCTGACCCAGGCCCCCTCGAGTCACGAATATAACCTCGACGGGACTTGTTTCATGATTTTCGGCCTGGGGGGGACTCGGGACCGTCAAACATCGATTCGGGAATGGGTCGATTCCTCTGGGGGTCGACGTGATGAAACAAACCATGACGTCAGCACTCGAAGAATTCCACTCAGCGAGAACGACGGGCGGAGAACGCTTCGCCCTCGGGGATGCCCTGCCCAAGGTCAATCCAGGCCCGGGTCAGTCGGGCTTTTGCGGGATCCTGCAAGTGCCCGCAGGATCCTGCACCCGAGCCCGGCTCAGCGCGCCCCTGGCTCTGCAGCATCCTGCAGCTTCCCGCGCCCTGGCGGGCCCTCGTTGGCATTCCCCCCCCGCCTCCAGCGCCCCGCCGCCCCACGGCCGCAGCCTTCCGAGGCGCGCTCGATTCCTGGTCTACTCCGGACGGTCCCCGTTGGGAGGGCCCCGTCCGCCGCCGCCGTGGCAGCCCCCGGAGCAAGAGAAAGGGGGGGGGGGCTATACAGGGCCCAAGCCTCCCGCGTGTTGCCGCCGCGGACGGCCTCCCGGGCGGCACAGCCGGACCCGGGCCAGAAGAACGCCCCTCCAGAGCATGAGGCCCTCCGCTGGCCAGACCGGAGAACATTCGAGGGTGCCATCTCCCGAGGGATGCGCGAGAGCACCCAACAAGCGCGAAGAGCATTGGGGCACTCTCCCCGAACCGACCTCGATCTGAGGCCTCGGCCCGAGCATACTCAAATCAAATGGGCCGCGCGGGCACGCCAGAAGCGAGCTCAAGCTGGCAGGCCGGCCCTGAAGGCAAGCAAAGGGGTCCCGACCCCCGGAGGGAACTCATCCCGGCAAGTGGGAAACCGCTCCGTGGGAGGGCGCAGGGAGCCGCCAAAGGCAGACTGAGCCACCACACCACACCACACCACACCACGCACCACGCACACACACACACACACACGCACACACACACACACACACACGCACACACGCACACACGCGCACACGCGCACACGCGCACACGCACTCGCACTCGCACTCGCACTCGCGGGCCTGGCCAGGTCCTCGGCCTTGCGCGCCAGCTCCCGGTCCGCGCGGTCCCTCTGCTCCCGCAGCTCTCTGCACTGCGCCTCCCGGGGAGGAGGACGGCGGGAGCGGGCGGGCACGGCGAGGCCGGGCGCGCCGAGGGTCGCGAAGAGGCGCCTGGGTACCCAAGCCTCGACGCCTCTGCGGGGGCGGCTCTACTTCAGCATCAGTTCCGCCGACGCTCCCGCCAACGAGGCCGCCCTCCTTCCTGTACTTCCGCTGGCATGTTCGCTGGCTTCCGCCGAGGGCGGGATGTCTGAGGGCAACTGCTGAGAGGTCTTCGCGAGGACGATAGGGGGCCTGCATCCCCGGGCCATTGAGCTGGACTAGCGTGGAGAAAGCGCGGGAGTAAACCGAATTAGGCTGGCTTGGTTGTGCTGGATTAAAGGTATGAAGTGGGAGTGTGTCAGATTCGGCCAGTTTTCGCCCACGGGCATATCAGCGCCGATGCTGAGCTGAAGTTCCCAATAGTTGCATCCCAGGGAAGCGCATTGCGGACGATGGGAGCTGGCAGGGGACGTGACGAAAGAAGAAAAGGGCGCCGTGACATCGTGGAGATATGTCAAGCCCTCACCCCCTCTTCGACACCTGATGGTCCTCGGGCAAATACTCGGTCCTCCAAAGGCCGTCAGGCACGATCCAGGTACCCCCGGAAACTCCTCGGCGAGGCGCAGCTGCCGGAAAGCATTCCGAAGCGAGACAATGCCCAAGAAACAGCGACATTGGAGGCCTGAAAATGGGCACCAACACCAACGCAGTGGTTTGCCTCCACAGGGGGAAGATGATCCTAGATTTCGGTGTTGGTGGTAATATTGCGGTCACCTTGGAAGCCAAAATATTACTACCATTACCGATATCGGGATCTTCTTCCCTCGGTGGAGGCAAACCGCCGATATTGGTGTTGGTGTCAACCTTTAGGCCTGCGACGACAGCCTGCTCCCCACGACGACGAAAAAGTCCCCCCTGCGCGCTTCCGACAGGGGCGGGGCGGGCACCCCCGCTCCGCGCAACGCGAAACGCGCTCCTCCTCGCGGCCTCGCGCAGGACCCCCCGCCCCCGCAGGGAAGGGCAGCTTCTGGCGGCACCGAAACCCGCTACTCCCCGGACCCCATCCAGGGGTGCGTGCTGACCTGGGACGAGGAGGGGGAGGAGGAGGAGGAGGAGGAGGAGGAGGAGGAGGAGGAGGAGGAGGAGGAGGAGGAGGAGGAGGAGGAGGAGGAGGAGGAGGGGGAGGCGGGGGAGGAGGTTCTCGAGGCGCATCCAGCATCCTCTTCAAAGCTCCCTCTCGAGCCCAGGCCGCGGAGCACGAGGTCATCTTCGCACGCCCCGGCGCGTGATCTCCAGGGGGCGGGGGGGGGGAGCAGGGGGTGGCAGCGCTTAGGAGCGGAAAGGGGGTTCGGGGGTAACTAAGGGGAAACCAAACCTACCTCGCTTTTGACCACCCTCGCTTCCAAGAGATACCAAACGATGCCAAATCGCAGCCTGTACTGGTCAGGCCGCTTGACGAGGAGGCGCGTGGTACGACTTGGTTTTGCCTGGAAGCGAACGCGAGGTAGGTCATTCACGCTCTGAGCAAAAGGTACTTCCAGCCAGATCCACGGGCCATGGAGCGGGACTGGCCCAGAGGAAGCCCAGAACTGTGCCGGACCGAGCCAGACAAAGCGGGGTGTAGCGGAACGAAGCGGACTTCGACGGGGCGGGCTGTTTTCGACCACGGGCAGGCCACTGCCGACGCTGAGTTGGACCTCCCACGGCTACACGTGAAAATGACCCTGGGCAAGGGTGACCCTTGGTGCGGGGTTCTAGGAAGCCGCGGGAAGGCCAAATCCAGACGCAGCAGCCAGCCCTGGGGGACACCTGTAGGTTCGCAACAAAGGTCACCCTGGCGAAGGGTCACCCTCACGCATCGCCGACGCCCAGGGGTTGCATGCTGAGAAATCTGGACAGAAATGCTGGGCAGGTACACGGGGGCAGACTGTAACTACCTACCAGACCACCCCAACCTAAGCCGAAGACCCGAATTTTTTTGGGGGGGGTGATCACGGGTTCCGCACGTGTTTGCCCAAGGCTCCCTGACACATCCCCCCCACTGGGAATGGAGAGTACATTGGGGGGCCTCCTGGTTGTGCTGGGGTGGCTTGGTGGTTGGTGGGGCTGGGGCAGAGGGGAGGGCCGACGGGGAGGTCAGAGGGGATGGCATCGGCATGGGGCGGAATTGATGATGATGATGATGATGATGATGATGATGATGATGATGATGATGATGATTGTGATGATGATGATTGTGATGATGATGATGATGATGATGATGATGATGATGATGATGATGATGATGATGATGCTGACGACGATGATGCTGATGATGATGACGATGATGATGATGGTATTGATGATGATAATGAGGATGATAATGAGGATGAAGATGTTGAGGATGATGAGGACGATGATGAAGGTGATGATGATGGTGATTATTGTGAGGATTTGACGATCATGATGATGACGCTGACGATGGCGGAGACGGGGCCGGGGGGGGGGGCAGGAGCGGAGGGGGTCGGCTGCTGGAGGCCAGGAGCAGGGCGGCTGCGAGCAGCCCGGGGGGGGGGAAGCGAGAAGGGGCGGGCCTCCTCAGAAGGCTCGGAAGCCCCCTGGCCCTCGGATGAGTTCCTGGGCGTTCCCCGAAGGCGCAGAGAAACTCTCAGCAGGCGCGGGGGCTTCTGAGGATCCCGGCCGCCCTCTGAGAAGGCCTCCTCCCCTTCTCTCCTTCGCCCCCCCTCGCGCAGGGAGGGGGGAGACGGAGGAGGTGCAGCAGCACCACCGGCAGCGATCAGAGGAAGGGGAGCTCCGTGGGCCGCCTCTGGCCCCATGGGCCCGGAGGCTCCCAGGACTAAGTCTGTAACGAACGAAATAAATTACACTCGGACCTAGGCCTGGAGAGAAGAACACCCTTCAAGAACATGAGGCCCCCCGCCTGCCGAAACACACAGAACGTCCTGGGGACTCTCCCCAGGATGCACACTAATGTACAACAACAAAAACACGGAGCACATGAGAGCACCCTCCCCAAACCAACCTCGATCTTATACCTCAGCCGGACTGTACGGAACTCGTCGATGTGGGGCACTCCTGGGAAACACTGTATAAGGAGGGACGTCCGTGGGGCACCCGGGAGCCTCTGGGCACGCCGGGGAGACCCCCCGACGCGCTCCCAGAGCACTCCAGAGGCCCCGGAGAGGTGCCTTGGGGGACCTCGCTCGGCGCCGCGCAGAAGGGGGGAGCGGCCCTCTGAAAAAGCAGCGGGGCCTCTCGGAGGAGATCAGGGGCTTCCAGGAAGGAGGGCGAGATCTTCATCCGGAGTCGTTCTCTGACAATCCTGGGCCCCGTCTGGGGCCCGTGGAGGGACCCCACGGGCGCTGGGAGCCTGGAAACGATGAACGACCTCAGGACCCGTTGCCGGCAGGACCCGCTTCCCCCATGATGGCGAACCTAGCCCACCCCAGAAACTCGAGTAGGGGATCGGCTACAGAATCGTTTTAATCATCCCATAATTGAATCTGCCGTTGAATATACGAAACATGCGCACAATGAAGAATATGTCATAGATGCGACGGAGATAAATATGGGGCAAATCAGCTGGATACCGAAGCGCTTCCGCGAGGGCGGGAGGCGGGCGGCGGCGGCTTTGCCGGAGGCGTCTCCGAGAACCTCTCTCGGGCACACGCGAGAGTGACCCTAGGCACAAGTGGCCCTTTAGTGCGCGGACAAGCGGGGGACCCTTTGGGGACACCTCCAGGCACGCAAGCTGCTGCCATTCATGAGAGACACGAGTGCCACTACCACCAGCCAGAGGAATGGCCGCTCCTCCCCCTCGAGCTGGTGGCACATCGTTCCAGGCACTCTCCGGAGGCATGCCCAAAACGAGGTGCCACGAGCTCGAGGGGGAGGCGCGGCCACCCCCTTGGCTGGTGGTAGTGGTACTTCTGGTTTTGGTGGGCCATCGCATTCAGCGATCGGGGGGCCCCATTGGGCCCGCACTCGAGGTCACTCCGGCGAGAGGTCACTCTTACTTACGTCTAGTCGAGCCACGGTCACGGTCCGCCGCTGGGCCGCGGGGCACCGAATGGAGGGTCCGCCGGCATCTTCGTGCAAAGATCTCCGAAGAAAAAAATTGACTGTGTTCCCATCAGGGCGAATGAAATCGATATCGGCCTCCGGGGTCCGTTATTCGGGGCGCGGGACCATCACAACAGAAACCAGGGCGCAAACAAAGCCCCGGAGCAAGGGGTCGGGACCTCATGGGCCACGGATAGAGAAAAATCAAATCGGGGGAAATCTGTGTTGATTCATGGAGTTGCACGCGAATGGGGCACAAGCCCCTCGCTCAGGGCGCTCTCGGGCGCTCCTGGGCGATCCTGAGGTGCGTCGCGCGACTTGTCCAAAGGTCTCGGGAGCGCGGCTTGGGGCGAACGTGCTCTGAGATGGTCTCAGGGGTCGCGTCCTCCTCCTCCTCCTCCTCCTCCTCCTCCTCCTCCTTCTCCTCCTTATCCACCCCCCCTGCTCCTTCTCCGCCTGCTTCTCTTACTCCTCCTCCTGCTCCTCCTCCTCCTCCTCCTCCTCCTCATCTTGCCTCCTCCTTGGGTTTCTTGCCTCTTCCTGGGACCTCTTTGGGTTTCCCGCTGCCACCTGGAGCCTCTGGGGCATCCTAGGGCCTTCTGGGGCATCTTTCTTGTAGTTTCCTGGGGCCTCAGGGGCCCGGAGTACTCCTGGGATCTCTTGGGGCCTCCTGTGGCCTCCTGGATTAACCCTGGGGCCTCCTCGGACATCCTGGTGGCTCTGGGGCCTCCTGGGACCTCCTGAAGCTCCGTGTGGTTCCTTGAAGCCTCCTCGGGTTTTCTGTAGCCTTCTGATATTATCTGCAAGTTCCCGACAGGGACTGCCTCGCGATTCGCTCACTGACGAAGCCCACGCCCGAGACTTCCTACATATTCACGCCTGAAGAGCCCAACAGCGACGAAAGTTACAGGGTCGGATGATCCCGCTCGGATTCCAACGTGGAGAAGGGGACCCCATAGGTGGGGGGGCTCCCGCTTGACTTGTTTGTCACGATTCACTCGCTGACGAAGCTCTAGCTCTAACCCCCCTCAAGATTCAAGCCTCGGGAGCCCAAGCGCGACGACATTTACAGGATTGGGATGGCCCTGTTCGGATTCCAACATGGACGCGGGGACCCCATGGGGGGGTCCCTCTCGATCCTTCCTCGCGCTTCACACGCTGACGAGGCTTCCGCTCGAAACGTTTCCCAGATCCTGTAAATTTGAAGCGATCGTAGAATTCGGACGACCCCGCTCGAACTCCAATCCGGGAAAGGGGACCCCATAGGTAGGGGCTCCCGCTCGAAACTTCCTCGCGATTGACTCACAGACGACGCTCCAGCCCGGGACGTCCTCCAGATGAACACCCTAGAACGACGGCAGTTGCAAATTTTGGATGTCCCCGCTTGGAGTCCAACGTGGGGGCGGGGGCAAGACCGTATAGGCAAGGCAGAGTTAGGCAGGGAATCGAACTCTATACACCGACGCGTTTTCCGCCCCTGCACTGAAATCTGCAGCCAGGAAAGCGGATCCTGGTATATACGGAGCCCTGGTGGATCGGGAAAAAGTATACACCACAACCCCGACGTCGTCCCCGACCCTCAAAAAGTCGTTGGATTGAAAAACAGCCCGCCACTGGAAATGTATATGTTCCAGTTTCCGATTAAAGCCCAGGAAGCCCAAAGGTGACGAACATTACAAGACGTTGATGACCCTGCCCAGAATCCAACGTGCAAGTGGGGACCCCATATGGGAGGGGTTCCCGCTCGAAGCCTCCTCTCCCGTCGATTTGCCCACACACGGAGTCCACCTCGAGATTTCCTCCTCGCCCTCCTGCCTTTCCGTTCCCTCCGCCGCCTTCCCCGTTCAAATTGCGAGGCCCCGCGCGTCCACGCTCCTCGGCGCCGCCACCACTTCGGTCGGGCACCCCTCGCGCCGCAGCCGATCTGCGGACCCCACAAAAGTGGCTCACACATGATAGTTCCCCACGGTTCACTCACAGACGAGGTTCCCGCTCGAGACGTCCTCCATATCCATGCCTCAGGAGCCCAAGACTGACGACTGTTACAACATGTTGTTAACCCACTCGGGTTGCAAACGTGCCATGGCGGCCCCATGGGGAAGGGGCTCCCGCCTGAAACGTCTTCAAACTTCACTCACAGACGAGGCTCCCGCTCGAGACTTCTTCCAGATTCGCAACTCAGGGGCCCAAAGTGACGATCGTTAGATAATTCGGAAAACCCACCCGGATTACTGACCCGACCTGGCGGCCCCATCGGAAAGGGGCTCCCGCCCGATGCTTCCACACGGTCCACTGGCAAACGAAGCTCCCGCTCGACACCTGCTCCAGCTCGACGTCTCAGGAGCCCAAAAGTGAAGACGGATACAATGTTTGGATGGCCCGCTCGGTTTGCTCACACCATGTGGCGGCCTCATAGGGAAGGGGGGCTCCAGCCAGAGACTTCTTCACAGCACAGTCACAGGCGAAGCTTCCGCTCGAGACCTCTTCAGGATGATAATGTAAGTGTGAGGCTGGGAGTGCATTTTAACGAGTGCGCGAGTACGTTGGATGATGACGGAGGCGCTTATGCTTTGAATGTGTATAAATGGATGTTTGTGCAGTGATGATGATGACTGCGTGATGATAGATGATCGGTTATGGTGGATGTGAGCGTGGTGATGGCGATGTTCATGGTGATGGTGATGGTGATGATGAGGATGAGGATGAGGATGAGGATGATGATGATGATGATGATGATGATGATGATGATGATGATGAAGATGCTGAACATGATGATGGCGGCTGTGAGGACGGCGGTGAACTGTTGATGATGGCGGTGTGCTGGTGATGGGGAGCAGATGGGTTGTGTGAGGTGTGAGGTTCGCGCGGGATGTCTAGGGACAAAAAAAACCTTGAGGATGTGGGTGGAGTTATGGGACACGTCTGCGCCGCAGAGCGGGGGGGGGCTGAAAAGGGGAGTGCCGCTCCTTGACAAAAACCTGGCCCCGATGTGTGGCCGCCACGACCGCCGCGGCGACCTCCAAAACCGAGCCGGATGTTTGGTTCTGGGCCAGACTTCGCGCAACCATCCCCAGTGGCCCCCCCCTTCTCTGGGGCCAGCTTTCGATCCCGAATAATTTTGTCAACAGTCCCGGGGCCCTGTGAGGGCCCCCGGGAAGTAAGCAGACAACGGCCAAACAGCTTCCGTCGTGGTGTCGGGCAGGACGCGGGGATGTCAGGGTACCGACTAACTGCGCCACTACCCCGCCCCAACAATTACGTTGGGCATGTCCCCCATACAGGCGGATTTTGGAGGAATTATATACTCTAAACAGATTCAAACATAATCAAAAACTAATCCCAAAAAACGCCCCAAGACTACCCTTTATTTTTAATGAATATTCCTCCTGTAGAGGGACACGCCCGACTTAACCCCAAAACCTCCTTCCCGGCCGTTCCTCCCTCCACGCGCACATCTGCAAGACAGGGCCCCGCGGCCTCCGTGCGGCCGAGCCTGGCCTGCAGGTCCTGCACCTCCTTCTCCCTGGCCTCGACGTCCTCCCCACGCCCCCCCTCCCGACGGAGGGATGGATGGAGAGAGGGGGGGAGAAGTGAGGAGGTCCTGCACCTCCTTCTCCTAGGCCTCGACGACCTCCCCACACGTCCCAGGCGGGACGGAGGCAGGGAGAGAGGGACGAGGGCCGGGGATGCTCCCACTGTATGTCTCAGGGCATGGCCAGAAATCCCTGAGAGCCCCCATCTCACGCCCCTCCGCTCCGTTCCGCGGTGATTTTGCAAGTGCCCGCCTGCGGCGGACGTCATGCACGGGAACAAAAAAAGTCTGGCACAGATCACAGATGCAGGTGTCGCCTCCTCTGGATCGGGGAGACGTGAGACCCGGGTACGGGGGACTCGGAAATCCCCGACGAGGTCGCCAAAAAAATGACGAGGCCGAGCCTGCATTTTGACGAGGCCTCCCGCTGCAGACATCCCACGAAACTCATCCTCGTCAAAATCCGAGGCGCGGTCGTCAAAAAACGATGGCGAACCCGAGTCCCGGCAAACCCGGGTCTTACGCTCCCCCGACTGGAGGCCGCTCGACCACTTGGACCCGGCTTCATCCGAAGGAGGAAGAGAAGTGGCTTGAGAAGGGACCAACCGTCCGGCATTCCTATGGGCCTACCGACGGCATGTTCGTAGAACCCAGCAGTGTTCTAATAATAGGAACAATAGTGTTAGAAAAGAAGCCCAATGTGCCAACAGCAAGACAATCTCAGCCAGAACTGTTCGAAGACCATTCCGTGTAGACCGCAATGGGTTCTCAGAGCACCCTTTGCGGTGGGCCTATGGGCGAGCCGTGACGCTCCGCCACTGCTTGAGGTGGAGGGGGGGCCCGTGGCTCAGGCCAGCGTCAAAGCCCCCCCTGGCCAGACATCCGACCAACCGACGGGCCGGGGCGCCCGCGACGTCCGCTTACTCTGGCCCTTCCCTGCACGGCCGCTGGCGCTCTGCGCGCCCCGCCTGCCCTGGCCTGCCACGACGCTGCCTGGCAGCGAGTGGACGGCACCGCAGCACGGCACGTCTCAGCATCGTCCAACCGTGCACGACGGCAGAGCGGCGCAGGCGCAGGCTTTCGGAGCTCCGCGCGGATTTCCTGGATCCGTGCTGGGGCCGCCAGGAGCGGCGCCTCCGGCGCCGCTCCTGGCGTACTCCGCGCGCTGGGGAGCGGGGCCCAGCGCGCAGATCCAAGAAATCAGCGCGGAATTCCAAAGGTTGTTGGTTATGCTGTTTTTCCGTCGGCTAAAAAGTGAACAGCGGCTCTTTGCGCGCATGCGGAGCCACCGCGTGCTTCCGAGGCCGCGCCCCGAGTTCCCAGACCCCACCGTCATTATTTGTGCCGTACGTCGACCCCCAGATGTCTCGACCCATTCCCCGGGACCGGCTTTGCCCCGGTAAGGGTCCCCCGAGGCCCAAAATAAAGAAAAACTTGCCGTCGTGACTGTTTCGCAACGCGAGGGGTTCTGGGAAGAACGCTGGGACCACCTCAGGTCAGGCCCTGACACCCGCCAAGCTGATTTACTTCCATGCGCGGCCCCAGAGCTCCCAACCCCTTCCGTGGGGCCCGTCTTCGGCGACACGCAAGAGTGACCGCGTGGATTACGGGGGCGCAAGGTTGCCAAAGCAGCGCGCGCAAGCAGCCGCTATCGCGTCGCGCTCAGCGAGCCCGCGCCACAGGCCACTCCGGCGAGGGGCCACTCTCACGTGTCGCCGGCTTTTTGTTCAGCAGCCCCGGGAGCCGAGGTCGGGCCCCGCCGCGCTTCGTTCCGCAACGCGGGGGGACCTCGGCCCTTGCCTCTGCTCGCCCACCCCCGCCCCTGCCCGCCGACGCGGCGCAGCCCACCCGCTGCTGCAGCGCGCGGCAGAGGGCCTTCGGCAGAGCGCGGGCGGTCTCCCCTCCTCTCCTCCCGCCTCTCCTCCCGGCCCTCCTGGCCCTTCTCTTCCCTCCTTCTCCCCCCCTCCTTTTCTTCCTCCCCCTCATCCTTATCCTGCTCTTCCTCCTCCTTCTCCTCCTCCACCTCCCTCATCCCCGACCTCCTCCCTCGTCCCCCGCCTCCTCCACCTTTATTCTTCATCCCCCTCCTTCTCATCCTCCCTCCATCCTCCTCCCCCTCCTTAACCCTCCCCTCCCTATCCCTCCTCCTCCTCCTCGTCCTCCTCCATTCCTTTTCCTTACAAGACAATTTCTCCCTGTCGCACCCCGAGGCCGGTCGAAAGGACCGGCCGGGCGTTTTGCCTGAGACTTCCTCACCGTTTATGGCCCTGAAGCTCAAAAATGGGCAACGGCTTCGCAGATGGAGGGCGGGCCGTTTTCAGAATGTGGCTCTTGCGTTAGCACCGCGCACATCCTTTCTACAAACTTGTGAAAGCTGCACGGATTCAGGGCGGGTGGTTTTCAGAATGTGGCTCTCGTTTTGGCAACGCGCCCATCCGTTGAGCAAATGTCAGAGACTTCACGGATTGAAGGCGGGTGGTTTTCAAAATGTGGCTCTCGCCGTAGCGCCGGGCACATCCGCTTTAAAATTAGCAAGAGTTGCAAATATTGAAGGCGGGTGGCTTTCAAAATGTGGCTCACGCCTTAGCGCCGAGCATATCCGTTGTCAAAGTGTGCAGGGGCTTTACGCGGATTGAGGGCGGGCCGTTTTCAAAATGTGGCTCTCCCCTCACCGCCGCGCACATCCGTCTTAAACACTTGCAGGAGCTTCACGGATTGAGGGCGGTCCCATTTCAAAATGTTGCTCTCGCCTTCGCGCCGCACACATTCAACGAATTGACGAAAATGTACCAACGCTCAACGGATTGAAGACGGGTGGTTTCAAAATAAATGATTTCGCTTTCGCACCGCGCAAACCCGTTCTCAAAATTTGTAAGACCTTAACAGGTTCAGGGAGGATGGTTTTCAAAATGTGGCTCTCGTTTTAGCACCGCGCACATCCGCGTTGAACATGTGCAAGAGCGTCACGGAAGGCGGGTGGTTTTCAAATGTGGCTCCCGCCTTAGCGCCGCGCAAATTTGTTTCAAACGTTGCAACAGTTTCACAAAATCCCATGGTCAACGTACCAGAGATGGTGCTGGAAAGATTTAGCACCAGGAGGGTGCAACAATTACGTTGGTTCGCGGTGTGTTTGAAGCCCCAAGACGTTTAATCTGGCGCGACTCGGGATCGTCAAAACGCAACAATCAGGTTGATCCGTGGCGTTGGAGTCCAAAGAATAATGTTGCGGCACGCTTCAGGATCTTCAAACGGTTGGTTTCCAACGAGGCAGGTCCCTCAGTAGAAATGAACCGTGCTAGGGGCCTATGAAAGGGGGCTTTGGAGGGTGGGTTGATTCCAACATCGTTGATAACTCTTGGGTTGACCCTTGTCCTCCTCTCCATACCTCCTCTCCCCCTGCCGTCCTTGTCCTTTCCACCCTCCCTGGCCCTGCTCGTTCCCCCTCCCCATCCTCCTCCTCCTCCTCCTCCTTCTCCTCCTTTTCCTCCTTCTCCTCCTTCTGCTCCTCCTCCTCCTCCTCCTCCTCCTCCACCGCTGCTCCTCGTAAGCAACTCATACCTGTCCCATCACCCGGCCTGTCGGCAGGGCGGGCCAGGCGATTCGCTGGGGACTTCCCCACCGCTTGCCATCCTGAAGCTTGAGCCATGCAGCGGCTACAGGTATGGCGGGATGCGGTACTGACAGTTGGTCTCCCGCCTTCGCCTGACGCCGCGCACATTCGTCTTAGGCGATTGCCACAGTTGCAGGGTGGAAGCCGGCTCCTTTCCAGAATGCGGACCTCGCATTGGCGCTGCCCACAGTCGCCTCAAAGGCTTGCAACACGTACAGAGGTTCGGGGACGGTCCCTTTCGAACATACGTATTTTTGCCTTGGAGCCGCGAACATCCACCTTACAAGCTTGCAACACATACGACTCTGAAAGACGGAAAATGTCGTCGGAGCGGGGCTCGCGCTTGAGCTTCCAGGAGCCCAAAGCCCCGACATGCGTAATGGCTGCACGGACGGGAGGCGGCTTCTTGCCATGGTGGGGCTATCGCTGGAGAGCTCCTGGAATTCCACAGCCAGGAAGGTAATCTTGTGGAACGGCTACACTGGTGGGGGTTGCCTCGTTCTCAGAGCGGCGAGACACCTCGATGAACTGTATGGTCCAAACTGGAGCTCTCGACTGAATGGCAGGCCGAACAAATGCTCACAACTTGGCTGGCGCGTGCGATCACCCACCCAGCCCGCCCTGAGCAAAGCACACATTCTATTTTTCACGATGGCGTTGACACTCAGATGTCGTCGGGGGGCCGGCCACCTCGCGGGCGCCCGCTATGCAGCGGTGCCGCGCCGAGTGGCTAGGCCCTCGCCCCAAGGCAGACTGCAAACAATCGCTGAGGGGGCTTGCCCTGGGTGGGCGGGAAGCGACAGGGGGCGATGGGGTGCGTGCGGCGCTTGGCCAAAATGGCAGCGGGCCGCACCTGGAAGAGGCCAGCACGCGGACGTTCCCGGAAGCCGCACCAGGGGCCAAAAAAGGAACGCCTCTGGAAGCCGCCTGCGGATGCGCCGGGAATTCCAAGGGGTCCTCCACGCCGGGAATTCCAGGGGGGTCCTCCGCCTCAGAGACCACGAGTGCACAGAGCTGCGCGCGGCCTTCACCAACCCTCGGTCCTTCTTTCGCCCTGTGTGGGGAAGGGGTCGCAAAAGTTCCGTTCCCGACCCGCCCCCCCAGGGCAGCGCCGCCTCGTTGTAACATACACAGTAAACTGTTCCTTCAGGCATTTGAAGGGGCGCCCCCTCTCTTCAAGTGGAAGGCTTGATAAGACTTATGCTGGCAATTGGGACAGAAGAGTGCACTGCAGCATCGTGAACGACCTAGACTTCAATGGGATCATTATATGTACGCTCACGCTCTGAACATGGTGGGGGACGATCCTATTCGTTTACAAATTATTCTGGGAAGTACGCCCGACCAATGGGAGGCCGCAGTGCTGCAGTATTGCAGGCGTCGCTGTTGCCTCTCGTTCTCTCTCTCTCTCTCTTTCTCTCTTTCTCGCTCTCTCTCTCTCTCTCTCTCTTTCTCTCTCTCTCTCTCTCTCTCTCTCTCTTTCTTTTTTCCCAACCATCCTGTGGTGTTGGGTCCTCGTTTTGAAGAGACGGTGCCCCGCGTCTCCTTCCTTCCTTCCTTCCTTCCTCCTCCCTCCTCCTCATCCCCACCCCCCCCCTTCTCCTGTCCGCATGCGGTTCCTCCACCCACGGCAGCGCTTCGTGGCCCCATAGGGACCACCGTAGGCCCCAGTGGGGGTGTCCGCATGCGGTTCCCCCACCAAGGGCAGCGTTTCGTGGCCCCATAGGGAGCTCCACCGTAGGCCCCAGTGGGGGTGTCCGCATGCGGTTCCCCACCCAGGGCAGCGCTTCGTGGCCCCATAGGGAGCTCCACCGTAGGCCCCAATGGGGGTGTCCGCATGCGGTTCCCCCACCCAGGGCAGCGCTTCGTGGCCCCATAGGGAGCTCCACTGTAGGCCCCAGTGGGGGTGCCCGCATGCGGTTCCCCCACCCAGGGCAGCGTTTCGTGGCCCCATAGGGAGCCCCACACCGAAGGCCCCAGTGGGGGTGTCCGCATGCGGTTCCCCCACCCACGGCAGCGCTTCGTGGCCCCATAAGGGGGCTCCACCGAAGGCCCCAGTGGGGGTGTCCGCATGCGGTTCCCCCACCCAGGGCAGCGCTTCGTGGCCCCATAGGGAGCTCCACCGTAGGCCCCAGTGGGGGTGTCCGCAGGCGGCTCCCCCAACCAGGGCAGCGCTTCGTGGTCCCATCACCGTAGGCCCCAGTGGGGGTGTCCGAATGCGGTTCCCCCACCCAGGGCAGCGTTTCGTAGCCCCACCGAAGGCCCCAGTGGGGGTGTCCGCATGCGGTTCCCCCACCCAGGGCAGCGTTTCGTAGCCCCATATGGAGCTTCACCGAAGGCCCCAGCGGGGGTGCCCGCATGCGGTTCCCCCACCCAGGGCAGCGCTTCCTAGCCCCATAGGGAGCTCCACCGAAGGCCCCAGTGGGGGTGCCCGCATGCGGTTCCCCCTCTCATCCCTGTCCTCCTCCTTCTACAACTTCCCTCCGGCTCCTCCTCCCACTGGCCTTCCCCCTTACCCCCCATTCCTACGCAACTGCCACTCACCCATCCACCTCCCTCCTCCTGAATCTGGCCCTCTGTACTCGAGGATCGAAGCTGAAGGCTTCCGAATATGACTGGAGCATGTAATGGTGATGTTGCGATGTCCGAGGCTCTCTTTGAAGCCTCCAGGGGCCTCTGGCGGGCAGGATCGGGGACGCAAGCACCAATCACCTCTCCTTCCCTCCCCAGCCTCTTCAGATAAGCAATAAGAACGCATCATGATCCTTTAGTAAGGGATCTGGGTTAGGAGGGCCGAAAAAATTAGGGATAGGTTGTTCTGCAGATGTGCCGGACGGAACCACTCATATCTTCAAGGGTATCCCTTGAAACCGTGGATTTAGGTAAGGCCACGAATTCATTGCGCTATTAAGGTTAGGAGTTGCATTATGCTCAATGGTCTTCTCCTCCTGCCCAGAGGCCTGGGGGCTCAAAGAAATCGAGACGGCTGGCGTAAGGCCGTCTTGGGGCCGTCCAACAGTGCCTCGGGAAAGGGTCGAAAGATCTGGGGCCCGAGGACCAGACAAATTAAAACAGCTGGATGGGTGGCCCATTTCTGGGAACGTCGCTCCTTGGTCGCTCGGAAACTCGGCCTCTAGCCAGCGCCCGAGCTCCAGAGCCAAGCAACGCTATCGGAAGCTCGGGCGCGCGCCAGCGAGCGGAATACTGCTGTCGCTTTGAAATGTCCCAGGGCCCCTCCCAAACACCGAATTCCCGCTTGGGCGCGCCGCCTGCTTTTACCCAGCCGGGGCGACGGACATGGGGCCGCGCACGCGACTGCCTCCCGCTCGCACGTGGGAGCGCGCGCCAATCCCAGCTGTGCCGGCAATGGAGCGCCGTGTGCGAGAGGTCACTCCTGCGTCTGGTCGAGGCCGGGCCAGACGGGCACCGCGGCAGGACAGGGGGGGGGGCACACGCGGGCGGGGCCTGGACGGGCAGCGCGTCCGGTCCAGGAGCGGCGGGGCGCGATGGGCCGGTGGCAGCGAGGGGGCACGCTGCAGGCCACGAGGAGGAGTGGCGGTGGCCACTGCCCCGATGCGCAGCACGCAGCACGTGGCGTACTGATACGGAGCTCAGCATGTAGACTGAGCACTCAAGTCTGACGCGGTGTGCTCGCCCAAACGTGAGCCAACACGTTGAGCCAACACGCAACATACTTACACGGACGTTCTGAGCACGGTGCGAGTTGCATATCAGAACGTGCGCATCGAGGCAGCTAAGGTATCCCCACCCTAGAGGTTCGGCTCAGCAGCACATGGCTGAGCGGGGCTGCAGCCTGCACTGAGCACATGCACCCCGAGATCATAAGCCAGACAAGTCGGGTGTGCACCCTAATGCCTTGCTGAACTCTTGGGCATGTTTCGGCACTGCCACTGGAGGAAAACACAGAAAGGATGGAGGAGGAGGAGGAGAAGGAGGAGAAGGAGGAGGAGGAGGAGGACGAAACAGGAGTGAGGAGGGAGGAGGAGGAGAGGAGGAGGAGGAGGAGGAGGAGGAGGAGGAGAAGGAAGGAGAAAGAGGACGGGAAGAAGGAGGGAATAGGGGGGGAGTAGGGCGGGGAGGAGAGGAGGAGAGGAGGAGGAGGAGGAGGAGGACTGCGAAGGCGGGAGGGAGAGGAGGAGCAAAAGGATGAGGAGGAGGAGGAGAAGGAAGAGGATGAGGCCGTCCGTATCGCCGCTGACGCTGGCGCTGCCGCCTCGTCTGTCATTGACCATTCGGACGATGTCGGGGGGTCCCAGCCCAGAGCGGGGGAGGCAAGAGGGGGGGGAGGAGGAGAAGGAGGAGGAAGGAGGGTTCTCTGAATGGGGGCTAGACTAGCGTCCACCCGCCCGATCAGCCCGCCTGGTTTTGCCACGTGCTTTCTGCTCCTGGCCCTCCTCCTGCTACTCTCTCCCGTGCTCCCTCCTTCTCCCTCCCACTTCCATCCGTCCTCTCTTCCCCGTTTTAAGGGCTGCACCAATTCGGAGCATTTTCTTTGGGTGGAGGGCAAAGGGTGAACTCCGAAATGCCGTTTCGATGGATTTTCGAGGCTTGAATCTGCAAGCGGTGAATCACATGACGGATTGATTTTCGAGGTGCAAAAGCCCATATGGATTTCACCCTGAGCCCTCCACCCTGAGAACATGCTCAGCAGTTACACGTGGCAGGGAGGCGGCTGGAGGGCAGGAGAGGGTGGAGGAGGAAGGAGAACTGACCAGGAGAGCGCGCCCCTGCCCCCTCCTCCTCCCCCTCCTCTGCCTCCCGACGCAGACGCCGACCCCAACGCCGACGACGGCGACGACGCCGCCGACGAGGCAACGCCACCGACGCCGACGACGCCGGCGACGCCGACGACGGCGACGACGCCGACGACGACGACGCCGATGACAGCCGCAACGGCGACGACGCGAGCGCAGCCGAGCGCCGCAGGGCGCCGCCCGCCTCTGCGCCCTTGAGCTCCGCGGCTGGGAGGAGGTCGCCTGGCGCGCAGCGCTCGGCGCGGGAGCGCAGGTCCTGCGCGCCGCCGCGGCCGGTGGGGGCCGCTCGGCGTCGTGGTGGTCGTGTCTACGTCGCCGCCCTGCTCGCTCGCCTCGCCCTCCTCCTTCTCCTCGCCCTGCTCCTCGGCTTCGCCCTCCTCCTCCTCCTCCTCCTGCCGCTTCTCCTCCCCCGTGCTCCTCCTGCTCTCTCTCTCGTCCTCCTCCTCACCCTCTCCCTCCTCGTCCGCGTCCTCCTGGTGGTAGTCGTCGTCGTCCTTCTCATTCTCGGCATCATCGTCGTTCTCCACCTCGCGCCTCTCCTCACCCTCGGCCCCCCCCTCCTCCCTCATCCTCATCCTCCTAGCCTCGTCGTCCTCCTCCCCATTCTCACCCTCGTTGTCCTCGTCCTCCTCCTCGTGGTAGTCATCATCTTCGTCCTCATCCTTCTCCTCCTCCTCCTCATCCGCCTCCTCCACCATACGCGCAAGAGTGACCCTAGGCAGGAGTGACATTTGCTGAGCGGCTTGAGGGGATCGCGGAGGAGCCAAATTTAAGCGCGCAAGCTGGTGCTGTGGAGCACCTGCGGACCCGCAACCCAGGTCACCGTTGCAAAGCGTCACTCTTACGAGTTGCCGACTAGGAGTGGCCGGCTAGAGCGTACAGAAATAGACAACAATGTAGAAACAGAAGTTTTCGGAGGTCCGCGCGACGGCGCTGGGCCACCCTTCCCCTGGTGCACCAAGCGCGCCACCGAAGAAATTCACGCGGGCCAGAGGCGTCGCCAGCGTGGGACCAGCGTCGACCCAAGAAACGAACGCGAACCTCTGGACGTTCAGGTTACCTGAACAACTTGCCTGAGAGGGTTCGATACAGCTTCCCTCACGACTGGTGAAGGATGCCGGGCCCCCGAGATCGGTGGCCGATCGCTGCCTCCACACCGTGGCCACCGTCCGTGCACAGGTGTACGTGCACCCGGTCATGGCCTTCTGCCGCATGGGTTTCTTGCAGCTCTTTTAGAAGAAGAAAAAACCACATGAACATAACCTTTCGGCGCTCCGCGCGGATCCAAGAAACGCGCGCGGAGCGCGAAAGGTTAATGTTAAGTCGGGCCTGTCCTCCTACAGGGGGATTTTGGATGAGAAATAAACAGAATCAAATAATACACCCAAGTGATCAAACATACTTTAAGAAACCACACTACTTTTAGACCATTTCTGAATCTTCCTCCTGTAGTGTGACGCGCCTGACTTTAAAGTTGATGTTTAAGTGGTTTGTCCATTTTCGATCTTTGCGTTTCGATAGCAGGGGGCGATGCGCAGTCCCAGAATCAGCCCGACAAGCACCAGCTCGCGTCCGAGCCAGCTGTCCGCTGCGCCCGCCTCCCCTCGCCGCTGCGTCGCTGTGCCCTGGCGCCCAATGCTCGGGCGACGGCAAGTGTTTTGTCGGGTCTGTCGCCCGACAGGGGGATTTTGGACAAACAAATGAGACATGTCAAAACATAATACTCGGAAAAACGTCCCCACACTATTTTTTGGACTGTTTTGAACATGCCCCCTGTAGAGGGACAGGCGCGACTTGAAGCAAGTGACCACCGTTACCGTTCCAAGTGATTTGTTTTTGTGCCTGTGTTCGGGGCAGGTGGTGCGGTCGGGCAAACAGAGAGGTGTAGGCACACGCGGATGCTGTCGAGGAGCCCCGAGCATTCTGGGCAGAGGGCATCACGCGAGGCTGCCCTGGCGCCACGAGCCCATCCGCCGTGACCCGCGCCGCCCGCAGCCCAGGAAACGGCCCTGTCCGAACCTCGCACGTCGACGGAGCCAACTCGCCCCAAATCTGCCGACCGAGCCGGCATGTGCGAGAGGCCCTTGGACGCGATGCCGGCCCAACCTAAACTGAAGTACGCCAGCCTCCTTTGAATCGTCGTCGTAAGGGGAAATCGAACTTCCAAAGGGGATCGAGAACTGTCGTCATTACGTCGAAGGGAAGCCCCTTCCCTTTGTCCCTTCCCCGCCGGGGGGGGGGGCGGCGGCCCGGGGGGGGAACAGGGGGGGTCCCAGCTTTGCCTGAGGATTTCAAGCTGGGGCTGGCTGGGTTCTACGAAGGTGAGGTGCATTCGGATTTCGATCCCTCTGGCCGCGACCCGCCTCGGCGACGTGGTAACCGCGTTTCAGGGCCGCAAATATTGGATTAACAATGGTGGAAGCATTTCTGTTCCAGGCCAACTGCGACATTCGCTTCGAAATCATCTCGCCTGGCATGCTTTACCAACGGGCGCAACGCCGAAACGGCATACCATATCGGCTGCGGCCTGTGAGAACGAACGTTGAACTGTGTTGCCAATCCGTTATCCCCCGGAAACAATCACAGCAACATGGTGCTAGCTCGCGCGCGTGCCGGTCACATCACGAGCCGAGTGAGAAGCGAAGAGGAGCGGGATGAGAACGGATGGTTTGATAAGATCGTGGTGAGCCCAACTCCCCAGGTATCAAGCCGTGCTGCAAGTTCTGATTGCCGGGTCCTGGGTTCATCTGGCCTGACGAGGGCACGGAAGAGACGGCACGCGCTGCAGAAGGAGAGAAGGACGAGGCCGGGGTAGAAGAAGCTTGCGTAACCATGGAATTGGAAAGACTGGGGGCTGCCTAACCACTTAAAAAAGGAGGTTGGCAACGCCGGCCTGAATGCTACATTGCGCTCAGACGAGCAGCGTCAATCGCTGCCGAAAACGCCGACAGAGCTTAGCCATCGTAACGCTCAGTCACGTTGCCGAAGAACACACACCCATTGAGAGATGCGCCTTGCAAAACCGACTCGCACTCGCAAATTAAGAGATTTCCTGTTTTGGCTCTGGCTGAGGGAAGTGTTCGGCCCGAGGGCCACAGGGGGCAGCGCAGAGGGGCGATGCGCAGAGGCGCGGCTTCCCGACGGACCCCGGGTCCTTGCACTGCGCGTCCAGCTCCTCGACCTCTTCCACGGCGGGCACGCTCTGCTGCTGCTTCGCGCGGGGCGGGGGGGGGGGGAACTCTGCTCGGGATTGAGCATCGTTTCGCCGATCCTTATATCCCCACTCGCGTGGCCTAGGCCCCACTGGCTGGTTTGCCCCCCAAGATGGGGACATAGGCAGTTTCTGTCAGATTTCGAAGGGCACATCCTCAACGGGGGGGATGAGATGGTGGGGGTCTGGATGGGGATGGGGATGGGGATCGGTGAAACGATACTGAGGGATCCACTAAAAGTCCGACGTCGCAGAAGGACCACCACCCGACTGCGAGCGATGCACTTGAGGGGCAACGGGTGCAATGTCTGACCGGCAACCCACTTAAGCGAGGAGGTGCTCGGACCCGTGGTCTGGGCGGCCCGTGGCTCGGAGCGGTGTCACGAGGTCAAAAGGCAGTCCGTGGAACAGTCAGTCGGCGCATCGGCAGGCGAGACTGCGTGTTCGAGCTGTGGCCCACGGGGCCCTGCCGCCGCCGCTCTCGTACCCGCGCTGGGCTCCGGGCGGGGGAGGGCCCGCGCAACTGGGAAGCGGCGCAAGCGACGGCACGGCACGCCGCGGTGCTCCCTGCTGCTGGCGGACCTGGACCTTGCAGAACACTGGTCTCGCAGCGGGGCCCCACCCCGTCTTCGCACCACCACCCTCCTGGACTAGGAGGCAACTACTGGGAGGTTTTCGTCGGAAAGATGAAAAAGGAATAAGCCCCATTTGGGAGCTGTTACGCCGGAATGGGCCTCGGATTAAGCGGGAGTAAGCCGGATTAAGCGGGGTTTAACGGGATCTAGCTGGATTAAGCCGGATTTCTAACCAGGGCAACATCAGAATTTGACCTCCCAGGAGTTACACTCGAACCTGGACATGGACCCCCTCCTCAGGGATCTACTGACCTGGACCAATCCAAACTCGGGTCAGTCGGGCCCTGCGGGACACTGCAAGATCCCGCAGGATCCTGCGCGTCAGCACGGGTCCGTGCAGCCCTGGCTCGGCAGGATCGCAGAAGATCCCGCGGTCTGGCTGACCCCCGTTTCCATTGACCTCCGTCTCTTGAGCCCCAACTTCAACAACTTTTGAGATGGCTGGCCAAGTGGCAACACTGCGAGTGGGAGCAGACACCCTTCCACCACGCACGCACACACTCTTTTCCCCCAACGCGCCGATGGCTTGCAATCTGGGCCAAATTCAACCAAGACGGAACGCGCGGTCAACGTCGAGCGAACCACGCCGTGTGGCAGCGTGAGCCGGGCCGAGACTCCCAGGGCAGAGCAGGCACGTCCGACCGCTGAGCGGCCAGGAACAGGCGCACGTGGGGCAGGAAGACGCGAGAACAGCGTCGAGGACGCCAGGCCGAGGCTGTGAGTAGGGGAACAAAAAGTGGCATAAACATAAAAACTCGGCGGTCCGGATCGGCGCTGGACCCCCCTCCCTGGCGCGCGGAGCGCGCCAGGGGCGGCGCCGGAGGCGCCGCCGGGGGGCCCCAGCGCCGATCCGAGAAATCCGCGCAGACCTCAGAGTTTTTATGTTTATGCCACTTTGTGTTCCCCTAATCAAGGAAGGCGCGAGAACAGCGTCGAGGACGCCAGGCCGGGGCTGTGAGGGGGACGCCAACCCGCCGAGAAGGTGCCGGCAAAGGGAGCACGCCGGCGGGGAGAGCCGCAGGTTTTAAGGCTCGCGAGTGCATGCGGAGCCCTCTCTCTCTCCTCCGCCAGCATACCCTCTCCTCCTCCTCCTCCGCCTCCTCCTCCTCCTCTTCCGCCTCTGCCTCCGCCTCCGCCTCCTCTTCCTCCTCCTCCTCCTCCTCCTCCTCCTCCTCCTGCACCCCCTTCCTCCCTGCCTCCCTCCCTCCTCTCTCCTCCCTGCTGCTGATCCTCTTCCCCTTCCCCCCTCCCTCCTGTCTCGTCCCTGCTGCTCCTCTTCCTCCCCTCCTTTCTCCCCATCCCCCTGCACATTCTTCACATAATAAACAAGACCACCGACACCGAGACACCGAGAACCCATCGGGGAGGCGCGGAGGTGGGGGGCGCCCAAGGCGGTGACGCCCCGTGCGTCACCCACTCTCGGGCGCTGTGCCACCGCCCACAAGTGGGTCCAGACCGATGGGTGCTCAGTGGCGGGGGCTCCTGCTTATCATCCGAACTTCTCCCAGAGAGCCAGCGAAGGCCCAGACCTTCGAAGACATGTTTTGTTGATACAGTCGTTCCTTCATGGTCCCAGGGCCCGGCGAGGGCCCCCAGAGGCCGAAAGCAGTCAAAAACCTTCAGCAGTGATTGTTTCACGGTGCGAGCATGTCTGGGGGGGCTACTGGTATCGATGTCCTTTCCTCCTCTGACGTTTTCCCTCCGAGTTTCACTGGAGGACCAGCGAGGCGGAACCCGCTCGGCACGAGCCAACATGGGTAAGGAAAGAATGGGTACGAAAACCAACAGCAGATACTGCTCGTCTTGACCAGGACTCGCTGTCGGTGTCGCCGTGGACGTGGTCCATGTGAGACAGAAGGCCGCCAGGCTAACAGCGGCCGCTGCCGGTTTTGGGAACAAATTCTGGTGGCGCGCACAACAGGGTGGGTGAAGGGGGGAACGCTTCTTAGAAGGAGACTGCTTCTCAGAAGGCGCTGGCCCTGCATCTATAGATGAGGCCTGCGCCTCCTGAGAAGCAGCCTCCTTCCAGGCTGCCTCCCCACCTACCCCTACCCCTCCTCTGCGCGTGGCCACGATTTGTCGTTTGGCATCGTGCTCATTTTTGTTCCGTACCCATTCTGGACGTCGCACGCCGCGGCTAAACGCGAGAGTGGCACTAGGCACGAGTGGCCTGTAGTGCGCGGATGACGGGAGCGCAAAATGGCCAAATCCGAGCGCGCAAGCAGCCGCTATCGCATCGCGCTCAGCGATCGGAGGGGGGAGGGCCCGGTGAGCCCGCGCCAAAGATCACTCCGGCGGAGGGTCACTCTCAGGTGCAGTCGATAGTCGCGGGGGCGGCGAGAGGCAGCGCTCGGGGACGCACCGACCCGGGTCGGTGCAAACCCGGGTCCGTCAGGCATTGCAGGAGCCTGCCACCTTGCCATCGCTCGGACGTCCATTCGTTGTGTGTTCTTCGTTCGCTGGATCATCGTGCGCTTCTTTTGCGCACGATGCTCCAAGATGCTCCTCGATGGTCCTCGCCGAGAGAAAGTGCAAACGTCCGGGCGATGCCAAGCACACGCCAGTCGGTAGAAACAGGTGAAAACATGAGGTAGGAAGACGGACACAAAGTAGACTGGGTTCAGGCCCTCCCAGAGAACAACAAAATACAGCAGAAGCATATCGATACTTGAAGTCGGAAGGCGCTTGCAGTAGATTGGGATCTGGGAATCCAGAAACACCTACTTTCAACGACTGATAGGGAGGAGGAGGAGGAGGAGGAAGAGGAGGAGGAGGAGAGGAGGAGGAGGAGGAGGAGGAGGAGGTGGAGGAGGAGGCGGACAAGGAGGATGAGGAGGAGGGGGAGGAGCAGGAGCAGGAGGAGGAGGAGGAAGAGGAGGAAGAGGAGAAGGAGAAGGAAAGGGAAGAGGAGGAGGAGGCAGGGAGTCAGCGCCGTTCGGCAGCGGGGCGGCTGGGCCTGGCCGAGCAGCGCCCAGAACGAGTCCGAGCGGGGCAGGAGGGAACCTACGACCTTGGCGCACCACGGGGGGCGTCGGGCACCGCGCCCCGCGACGGGCTGTGCAGCCGTCGAGGAGGCGGCGGAGGAGGGGGGTCCCTTCCCCTCCTCGTCCTCCTCCTCCTCCTCCTCCTCCGCCTCCTCTTCCTCGTCATCATCATCATCAGCAGCATCAGCATCATCATCATAATCATCATCATCACCACCACCATCATCACCACCACCACCATCATCATCATCATCAGGAGCATCATCATCATCATCATCATCATCATCATCATCATCAGCATCATCATCATCATCGACATCGTCATCAACATCATCATCAGCATCGTCATCAGCATCATTCATCTCCTCTTTCTCCTCCTCGTCCTCCTCCTCCTCCTCCTCCTCCTCCTCCTCCCCCACGCCCTCCGCTTCCTCCTCCTCCTCCTCCTCCGCCTCTTCCTCCTCCTCATCATCATTCCCATGCTATGCCTCTTACTCCCTCCTCTATCTCCTCCCTCAGCCCTACATCCCGCCTAGTCCTCATCAGCGTCACCATTCCCCTGCATCATCATAATCATCATCGTCATCATCAGCATCATCACCATCCTCATCATCATCGTCATCAGCATCAGCATCATCATCATCATCATCATCATCATCATCATCATCATCATCATCACCATCATAATGACCTGTAGCATCGCCATCTACATCATCCTCGTCATCCCGATCAGCACCACCATCACCATAACCATCACCACCATCTTCATCATCATCAGCATCGTCATCATCACCACCATCATAATATCAGCTTCACCATTCGCATCGTCACAATCATCGTCATCATCACGACCGTAATCATCCTCATCATCACCAGCAGCAGCAACGGCATCATCATCAAGCATCAACACCATCACCATTACCACCAGCATCATTATCAACACCAGCATCACTATAATCAGCATCCTCGCCAACATCATCATCAAAAATCATCATCATCAGAACTACCATCATTATCAACATCCGCAGCGTCGTCATAATCATCAACATCGTCATTAACATCATCACCTGCGTCATCAGAATCATCATCATCAGCACCATCACCATCATGATCACTATCCTCATGCATCCTCGTCCTCATCCTCCCTGCATCCCCCTCCTTTCCACTCTTCATGCTTTCTCTTCGTCCACTTCTTTCTTGCACTCATCCTCCCACTTGGCTTCGGTTGGCCCCTCACCCGGCCTGGACTCGTCGATCTCCTCCTCCTCGCTGCCGGACTAACCACCCAAGGGGCGAGATGGAAGAAGCGACTGGTGGCCTGCGAGAAGGTGGTGGGGCAAGGCGCTTCGGTTCTCTAGGACGATGAAGGCTTGGGTTTCAGACGGGCGTGGAGCCGTCTCGGCCACTTTTCAAAGCCGCGTCCAGCTCTGACGACGAAGACCTGCTGAAACGACTCCCCGCACATCCAGAACGACGAGGTTCGAGCACTGCTCCCTTCTGCGCGCCAGTGCCTTTTCGGTCATGAAGCACGTAATGGCTTCGCGAGGGAGAGGGGAGAGACCTCCTCCTGTTCCTCCTCCTCCAGCCTCCTCTGCCTCCTCCTCCTCCTCCTCCTCCTCCTCCTCATCATCATCATCATCATCATCATCATCATCACCACCACCACCACCACCACCACCACCACCACCATCATCATCATCATCATCATCATCATCATCATCATCATCATCATCATCATCATCATCATCATCATCATCATCATCATCATCATCATGACCCTCGTCTCCTAGGTAAAGTCCCTCTCCACCTCCCTCTCCTCATCCTCCTCCTCCTCCTCGGCCTCCTTCTCCTCCTGTCTTCTCCTCTTCCTCCTCCTTCTTATCCTGCCGCAACCTCCTGCTCATCCACGAAGAGATGGGCGGAGAGGGCGGGGAGCGTTATCTTCACTCAGTTCTCCTTCTACGCCTTCTCCTCCCCCCCTCCTCCTCCTCCCCTCCTCCTCCTCCTCCTCCTCCTCCTCCTCCTCCTCCTCCTCCTCCTCCTGCGCCTCCTCCTCCTCCTTTTCGTCCTCCTCCTCCTCCTCCAATCGGAAATGAGGGGAACGTGGGGGGCAGTACCGTTTTCATGTTCCCCGTTCTGATCCTCCGCCTCCCTCTCCTCATCCACATTCTCCTGCTCGCCTGGGCAGGAAAGGGGAGGGGCAGAGAAAGAGCGAGAGAGAACGCACGGAGGCGGAGCAGGAGGCGAACTCTCCTCGACCTCACCCCCCGCCTCCCACCCCATCGCAAGCCGACGCCTCGGGGCACAGAGACCACGCAGGGCCACCCCCACGGACCCCAGAGAGTTTACAGGCACGCCTGCGAACCAGCTGGGGGTGGGGAGGCCCTTTCTGCGCTGCGGCAGGACACCAAATTTTCGGCCACAGCGTGGCGGGTCGCAGTCAGGAAGTCTTGCGGTTCCACGTGATAGTGGCTACATGCTCATGTGCGTTTCGTGCTTAGCAGTTTGCTTGCCTGCTGGCATGCTTGCTTGCTGGTTGAGGGTACCTGTCCAGGGGCGCGTTCTGGCCAGCATTCCGCTGGGAGACCAGCCGTGGCGGCGAGAACGCCCCGGGAGGCCCAAAGCCCAACGAGGGCGACGCACGCGCGCGCCAAGACCCTAAGATCCGATGCCGCGGGCAAAAATAAGCACCGTCAGAAAATATGAATCGGAGCCCCAGGCTCATGATGTTCTTACCTACTTTAGCCTTGATCACCAGAAAAGATTTCGAGCACCAGGAACAAATACCGAAACTCGAAGGTTTTCGCGTGTCGGGCCCTGGGAGACACTCGTCCGATACTGTTTCGACACTCTTTTGACACGTTTCTGGGTACTCGAAATTATTTCTGGGATGTGGTCCTTAAGTACGATGGGGGCAACATAGCCCTCCCTGCTTTCGCATCCCCAAGCCATTCCTACTCCGCGCCGCCTGGCCGGTAGACTGACTGCTCACCCGTGCCCAGCACAGGGCCGAGCAGCCGACGGGCCTGCTCGTGTGGCTCGCTCGCGCGTCCACGAAAGGCTCTCCGGGCCGAGGCCAGACGTGAAGCCGAGACGAAACTCCAGGCCATCTCACTGCGCGCCTCGCGCTGTACGGTGCGGGCCGCTCTTCGCGCTCTCGCCACCGCCGCCCTCCAGAAGAAGATAGGCCCGGGATGGCCCAAGGGCGATGCTGCACAGCGGGTGCCCACGACGAGAAATCCAGATATTACGGGGGCACATGCTTCGTCGACGCTGCGCTTCGCAAGTTGCATCGTGGCTTTGTGGCCGCATCGGGAGATAAGAGATGATTGTGGAGCACCTGATGGCGAGCTGATTTCAGATTTGTCGCGCCTACTGCATGGCTGCCCTTGTATGGATAGGATGCCCGGCGCCCGCCAGCAGCCAGACAAGGAAGGCGGGCGCACCGACGACCGAAACATGGACGAAACAGGTCCTGAGGGAAGCGGGTCCTGGTCCACGGGGCCTTCCCACAGGGCCAGCTCTTCATCCCGAATCGTTCTCCGACGGTCCCGGCGCCCTGGCGGGGCCCAGGGAGCCCAACAACTGCCAAAACCTCGGGGCCCGTGTCCCTCAGGACCCGCGCTCCGGACCCCAAAAGGGCACCCCTGCCCTCGACGGCGGCATCCCCGGGAATCCCTGGCAGGCAGGGTGCCAGGACGGCGGGGTAGGGGGTTCCTTCTTCAGGGCCCCGGCTGTAGGGGGGTGAGGCCCCGGCGGCCTTCGAGGCGGTCGCTCGAGCGGAATCCTACCCCCCGTCGCGGCAACCTCTCGGCCAGCCTGCCTCACCCCCGTCGCGGCGTCGGCCCCGGCGACACGCGGTGCCCCGCGGGTAGGATGGCGTGTCGCTCCGCTCCGCGGGGCTCGAGGCTCGGAAAGGCTCGGGACGGTGACGCTTGGGGACGGGAGCGCGGATAGCGTGTCGCGCCGAAGCGTGGTGGTCTAGAACCGGCGGCGCGACACGCTAAGCCACTGTGCCCGACCTTAGTCGGGGGGTGGGGGTGCCGCTTTGGGCTACGACGTATGCTCCACGGCGGCAGACGTGGCGGAAATCCGATGAGGTTCGAGGCGGATCGAGGAGGGAGGAGCAGGAGGAGGAGGAGGAAATCCGAGGCGGATCGAGGAGGGAGGAGGGAGGAAGGAGGAAGGAGGAAGGAGGAGGAGGAGGAGGAGGAGGAGGAGGAGGAGGAGGAGGAGGAGGAGGAGGAGGGGGAGGAGGAGGAGGAGGAGCAGGAAGAAGGAGGAGGCCGAGCCAGCGTCCTGCCGTGCTGTGCCGCTCGTCCGAGAGCCGTGCTCCCCGCGCCCCCCGGAGGCGGCGGCGACCGTCGAGACATCGAGCGAGGCCGGCCTGCTCGCCATGGGCCCTCCTCGGGAGCAAGGCGGTTGCGGGCAAGGGGGGTCTTTCGTACGGTAGGTTCGTGCAGCGTCGGCATGCGCCAAGGTCTTTGCCATCGCGTCGATCGTTCGAGCTTGAACCCATCGGGGTCCCGATCGTTCAAGGTTGAATTCTGTCGGGTCGTGTGGCCTTACCGAATCCCTCGGTGCTTCCTCGTCGTTCTAGCATGCAGAATTCAATATTGAACACCTTCGCCGGCGGCGCCGGCGCACCATTGCGGCATGAACCTACCGTAAACGCGTCGCCAAAACACATGCAATAGCTCACCCTGTGGCGCAAGGCGCGTGACAGCCACGTGCTGATAATTAAGGTACGACGAGCGTATCCCGCCCGAACGAGTGCACGATTTGTTGAGCAGGTTTTCGAGACCCCCTTTGCAAAGGACACATTCGCAATTGCAAAGGACCAGGGGGGCTGTCGGGCAGCTCAGCGGGAAGCAGCTGGCAGTCACCGCCATCGCCATCGTCGGAGCGTGTTAGCGCCCTTCAGAACGACGCAGGCGGTGCAACCAGGGCTGACGGAGGCTGCGCGCTGTGTCAGCGGAATAAACGTGGGTGCTACGCGCGCAAACCACACGCACACACAAACACTCACACACACAGACACCTACACAGTCACTCACGCACACACACACACACACACACACGCACGGGCTAACACACGTCCTGAAAGCCATCGACATCCGCCACACCACTACAAGTCTAATCTTCCTAGACATACCCTGACCTCCCAGCGTTGCGACACAATTCACGACAAATGACTTGTTTTGCAATTTTCTGCCTGGGGCCCTTTCTGGGCTCCAGAACCCTGAAAACACAACTCCGGAAGAAAAGTCGCTTCCTGGGAAAAGGTCCAGACCTCTGTCTGGGGGAGGGGGGGGCACGTTGTAAAACCATCGCGATGTCGGATGTCTGCGCCCGGGGCATCCGGGTGATCTCTGGAGGTATCCTGAGGCTCCCCAGAACCTGTTGAGATCAAGGGCCTCGAAGGGCCAGACCTGCCCAAACATTTACAAGTCATCAGCCCTCATCCTCATCCTCCTCTCCCACCTGGAACACTGCACTTTTCGAATTGGGGGAATACTCGTTCCATACCGACCAGTCGATGACCAATGGTCAAGCCTAGATCGACCGATCACGGTCGACCGAGATAACCATCGTCGTTGTTGTCTTGATCGTCGTCGACATCAGCATCATTATAACTGAGGCGAACCTCCACCTACTCCTGATAAGTATCCAATCTAATTGCTGAGCCTCTCATTCGCTGCTATGTGCTATCACTCGTGCATACATGCGCATTTGCACATCCACTCCGAATGTCGGCATTGCAGATATCAGTCCATTTCTTTGCGACACCTTGGTGCCACATGTTGACGCCACATAATCGCGATCCATCGTCGTGCCCCGTCACGGTCCACATCTTCAAAATCATGACCCTGGGCAGAAGAGCTCATCTCACGACGTGCGCAAAGCAAACCCCATAGCCCCAGGAATGGGATAGGAGCATGGAGCTGCTCTGGATTCGAAAACTCGAGTTCGAAAAGGCCTCTTGGGGGGCTCTTGCTGTTGGGCAATTGGATCTTGTTGGGCAATTGGAGCTCTGCTGGAAGCCTCTTGGGGCCATCTTGGGCCATCTTGTGGCCAACATGAGGAGCTTGAGAGCGATAGTATAGCTCTGCTGGGCAGTCGTGAGCAGTCTTGAAGCTCTTTCGGGCCGCCTTGGTGGGTTCCTCTCGGTCCGTCTTGGGCAGTCTGACGGCCGAGACGGGTCAAGTGATTGCAACTTGAGGATATCTTGGGTTGGGGCGTGCTGGCGATCTCTGAGGCCGTCTTGGAGCCCTCATGGGGCCTCTCGGGGCCATCTGGGGCCAAGCCGGCGATTGTCTTGGCTCGTCTTGCATCATCACAGCTTGTCCTGCCTCGCCTTGCTTCGTGGTCTTGCCGTCTTGGCCCCCCCCCCCCGGAGACCTGTCAAGCCAAGACAAGGACCACGACACGCCGGTGCCAGGGGAAGACCCTCCCCCAGGGTGCGGGCGGGGGGGGCCTCGAGTTTTCCAGGGCCCCAGGGCCCGAGACGGTACTGCAACTTGCAGGCCCCGGGGCCCGAGGCGGCACTACAGCTTGCACCACACAGCGCTTGAAGCTCACGATGCCTCCTGCGAGGCCCCACGGCGGCCACAGTAATGCTCCAGGCGTCCAGGGAGCTCAACGCTGCTGAGTGACTTGCACCTCCTCCTCCTTTTCGTTCTAATGGTCTCCCTGGGCATCCAAATGACCTTTCAGCCGCCAAATACCAAATGCAGCACCAACAGGAGCCCAGAAAGGCTCTAAGACGGACCGAAAGGCCCCCACGACCGTTTTGGGCCCCGCCAGAGGGGCTGATTGAAAACCATGTTTTGAACGATTTTGAAATCTCGAGGGCATCCTTGGAGAGTTGTCGGGCCAAGCATTCATCGAACATGGCCAACGAAGCCCAGAATTGCTTTCAAGATGACACAGACTTGGTCAATGATGACTCAGGACGGACCAACAAACAAAAACATACGGCAACATGCCACGGATACTCACAAGGATGTCACCGAGGGGTCAACATCCTTCAAACATCAATGGCTGTATAATGTACCTTTTTCTTTCGTTTCCAATAATATCCCAGGGCCTCAAGATGGCTCCAAGACCATCGAATGACCGTAAAGGGGCCCATCAGAGTTCCAAGAACGCCTCACGAGCCCCGAGGAGGTCTCAGCAGCCGCACAAAGAGGAATCCAAAAGATGTTTGGTCCCCGGGCTCCGAAAAGGGGAGGCTAAGTGGAGCCACCTCTTTTTACTCGATGGCCTCCAAGAGGGACCCAGGAGAGTACCAGTAGGGCCTCAAGGGAGTCCTAAATAGTTCCACGCTTGCTCGAAGATCGCCCCAAGATAGTCCAAAGAAAGCTCCAAGAGCCTCCCGGATCGAAAGACCCGCGAATGCACGTATGATTGCCTATTGGGTCTGCTCAGACTGGTCCCCAAGTCGAGCTTGACGGCTGTTCCCCTCTTTGTTGAATTGCGTGGTCCAGCACTTCCCTGACCGCTCGTCATCTCCTGCTTCCTCCTCCTTGTCCTCTCCTAGCGCAAGCGCCAGCTTCATTGATGAAATCGTGACGCAAGTGAGGAAGCATGAGGCGGTAAAAGACGGGAAGGGAATAGGAGGGACAACAGGGAAGCGAAGAACAAACACCGGGGAAGATGTAGAAGAGAGGAGGCCCCTGGCGCCGTGGCGCCGCACCCGAGCCGTGCAACAACGTTACCGATGTAATTGTACAATTATGTTGTTGCGCACGTGCCTTGGTTGCTTCGCAAGGGCTGCGCTGCGTCGGCAACAGTACGCGAGTGGCCCCTGGACGAGGACAGAAACAGCGTCAGGCGTCTTGGCTGCTGACAGAAGCAGAATTGTTGTTGCTAAATTCACACTTTGACGAATCATGTAGCACCCCGCTGCGGCGGATAAGAGTGAGAGGGCGGCGGGGCCGTTGGCAGTCTGCGAGGCTCTGGCGAAGCCCGCCGCAGGCGCTGATTTCACATTGCACAACTCGCCCGGCGCAGGCGCCTACTGTTTGTCAATTCAATGTGGATGGGTCGCGGGTGGGTCGCGGGGTGGGTCGCGGGTGGGTCGCAGGCTGGGTCGCGGGTGGGTCGCCGGCTGGGTCGCGGGGTGGGATCGCGGGCGGGTCGCGGGCGAGGACGACGACAACAACGCAACAAAAGCAGAAGCAGCAACAACAACAACACCATGAACAACAACAACAACAACAACAACAACAACAACAACAACAACAACAACAACAACAACAACAAACATTTCAAGGCTGGTCGCTCTTATCTGCTCCCGTGCCGTTCAATATATCCCAGCACCTCGGTGTCCGCACTCTTCGTATTCGATCGAACCCCCCTGGGGGGTTATGTTCCTCACCTGCCGCGCGTGATTGGTGCAGCCCCTGAAGCAGTGGAAGAGAGGACGGAGGGAAGGGGGAGGGAGAAGGATGGAGCACAGAATTAGCAGGAGGGGGGCTAGAAGCAGAAAACACGAGGCAGAACCAGACAGGCCTATCCGGCGGGTTAGACCCTAACGGACGGGTCGGGAAGGCGGGCCCAAGTGGCCAGGTCGAGAAGGCGGGTTGCAACAACAACAACAATCTTCACCGCGGAATCCCACTTTAGCCATGCGCCCAAGTACAGTGAATGACGGCTCGGCTACCTCACTCTGACTACCGTTGCCCCCTCCGCCGCCGGTGACCACTTATTTTTGAAGTGGAATGCAACGCTCGCACTCGCACCATGCGCTTCCATCCAGTGGAATACTCCGACTCAGCTTCCACCCTGACCCCTCCGGGATTTCCTGGCAACTGACTCAAGGCTCGCGCTCTCGCTCGAGACTTATGTTTGCAAGTTGCTCTAGAACTTAGATGATCTAAAAAACGTTCTGCCAGTCTTTCCACTGTTCAAGCTTTGCGTGTTCTCCGTTTGCGCCGTCCTCGGTCAATGTCCGCTGTATACTGCCGTTTCTGTTATGTTTTGGGCTGCCGTCCCGTTGTGGTTCGCCGACGACCGAACACATTGATATTCAGCCACCAAGAAAAAGCCCCAGCGTTTTGAACATCATCGGAACTCTAACATCGTGATGTTTGTTCAAGGTTGCTCAGGAATTCGTTCGACACTCGACCACTCACCGCTCAGAAATCACGCTCCGGCTCGGGACTCCCTCGCCACTCGTGCAGGAATCGCGCTCGCACCAGTCTGAAGCTGCACCTCCGCCCAGGACGCCCTCTGACTGTTGTCTTGGGCTCGCGCTCTGGCCTGCGATCTTGCCTGACGGTCGATCCATCCATCGGCTCCCCCGCCCGCACGGCGGCCCGCTGCTTCCGGGCCCGCCCTCCCGGCCCGCCCGTTGGGGGTCCGCCCGCCCCTCTCTGTGCCCGCACGGCCCCTCCGTCACAGGTCCGCCCGCTCCTCCTCCTCCTCCTCCTCCTCCTCCTCCTCCTCCTCCTCCTCCCCGTCTCCTCCCCGTCTCCTCCTCCTCCTCCTCCTCGTCCTCCTCGTCCTCCTCGTCCTCCTCGTCCTCCTCCTCCTCCTCCTTCTCCTCCTCTTCCTCTTCCTCCTCCTCCTCCTCCTCCTCCTCCTCCTTATCCTCCTCCTCCTCCCCCCTCCCTGGAAAACTAGAGCCGGGACCGACCGTCCTGGCATTTCCTATAGCCATCGGTCGGAAGAAGCAGGTAGAAACACTAAGCAGGAAAGCGTTGAAAATAGACTGGGTGCCGTCCGCCCCCTAAGAAGAGCGGAAAAGGTGAAGCCACTCGATCATTGAGATAGGGAGGCGCTCAAAGTAGATTGGAATCTGGGAATCCACAAGTACATACTTTCAACGACCGATGGGTAGTCCTACCACGAAGTGGGGATAGCAAAGGGGGAGACAGCAAAGGGAGGGCGCCTCCCAGCGCCTCCCGGCACCAGGAGGCGCCCATGTGTCGAGGAATGGACCTGGCGGCGGGGCCGAAACCAGCTGCATGTAGCAGATTTCGTACCCCCCCCCTTTCCCTATGTCCCTCCCTTGCGTTCGGCCCGATTGGAAGCACGCCTTCCCGTCTGCACGCCCCGTCGGCCTGGCCGATGAGGCTCCGCCTCCCCGGCCCGCCCGTTAGGTTAGGGTCCCCCCGCCCGACCCGCACGTGCGGGCCCACCCGCCTGGCCTTGCGGATGCCACGACAATGGACACCCTAACAGTGCTACCATTGGGTTTCAAATGTGTTTTAAATGTCGAGAAATGTTCGAAATATGTCTTGAACATGTGTTTTACATGTTTAAAACATGCTTAAGACATGTTTTAGACATCTGGAAATTATTTGGCACCATGCTTCCTCTCCATTGATCGTCCTCCACAAGCCTGGCCGACTCTCCTACCCTGTCGGGGTATGCGAAGTAGCTGACATCACCAAGGTGCCTCCGAAAGGGGGTCGCGCTCATAGGCAAAGGGGGCGGGTGTCGAGCTCTCGGAATACAAATGCTGAGAGGTACGGCAGCAGCGACGAGCGACCTACATCAAAATGTTGTCTCGTGCTGTTCTCGTTGTTCTCTGGCTGCGAAGCAGCATGCCGCCCCCAAAGGCCCCCTGGAAGGCGCCAAGAGAGCCCCCAAAAGGCCCGAGGCTTCCACAATGGCATCTCCACCGCCCCCAGATGGCACCAAGAAGCCTTGACAACGACAGATCAACGGAGACCTCGATGGTCGCCTCGCGGGCCTGCTCCGGCTGGTCCCTGCTTCGGTCCGATTGCTGGCACGCCTCCCCGGGCCACGGCACTCTCCCACACGTTCCCGGTCGGAGCTGCGTGCCTGGGAAGTGCTTCGGGATAGGCGGATGGGCATACGCGCAACGTGCCAGGCAGTTCTCGGGTGAGCGCGGAGGAGCCAATGTGAACATCACTGAGGAGCCCGGCCGCGCAGGGGTGCAGCCAGCGGACGCCCCGCCCGGCCGCGCAGGGGAGCAGACCCGTGGCCGCGTTGGGGGTGCAGCCGCGGACGGACGGACGGACGGACGCAGAGCCGGCGGGCGCGGAGGACCTGCCGATGAGGGCGGCGCGCCGGGGCCGCAGCCCGCAAGTTCGGTTTTCTGGGGAAACCTGGAGGGGACGAGTTCAGGCCAGCCGCGCTGGGGGAAAAGGGGGCATCGTTTCAACGATCCCCATCCCCACTATAGCGTGGCCGATTGACCCCCCCGATGGGGATATAGGCTGTTGCCTTCTGGTTTCGAGAGGCCTGCATAACTGGGGGGTGGTGGGATGGTGGGGCTGAGATGCCTTGGCCCAGTGGGGATGGGAATCGGTCAAACGATACTGGAAAAACATGCACTCCTCAGGCGGGGGTGGTCACTTCAAATCCGTGGCCGCTCGACACGGAAGCGTGAGCAGAGTTCGCAGCGGCTGGCCGTGGCCTCTGCTCGCTCAACCTGACAGCTATGCGTCAGGAGGGCCGCCAGGAAGGCCCTCACGCAGGCGCGACCTCGTCCTTGGCAGCTTCGGCGGGGCGGAACCACGAGAACAGACGACTCGAGTACACCCACGCCACGAACTCGTCAACGGACAGGGCCTCCTGGCCGTCCTTCAGGCAGCCCAGTGCGCTCCTGATCTCCCACTCCTTCTTCCCCATGCTGCGCAGCAGCTTCGCCGCTTCTTTCCTGCTGAGCTTCCCGTCGGCGTCCGCATCCGCCTCCTTGAACTTCTCCCTCAATTCCTCCTCCCCAGCGGTGAGGACTGTCCGGCACGCGGCCCCGAGCGTCCAGTCGTAGGAGTTGTACAGCAGGTCCTGCGTTGTCTTGGTGACGGCGCCGACGACCGGCACGTCGTGGATCTTGGCTGGGTTGGGCAAGGGGATCTCGTATCCGAGGTCGATGCTCGTCAGCCATGGCCTGGGCTTCTCGGCCTCCATCAGGAGCTTGAAGCCAGCGTAGTCGAGCTCTTCCTCCTCCATCTGGTCGATGGCCTTCTGGATCAAGCTCTCGGGCCTGCCAAGCTCGCGAAGCACCTCCGCGATGCCAGTTTTATCTAGCTTCCCTGCCTTCTCGCTGTCGACATACTCGAACGCTTCCCTGACCTCGTGCTCTCTGATGATCTGATCATCGAAGATGGTGAGCATGTTGTCCGACAGCGGCTGACCCACGACAGGCACGCTGTGCAGCAGACTTGGCGAGAACTTGGGCCCGTACAGAAGTAGCCGGATGTCCGCCGACGCCTGCTCGCTCGGGGTGAGAAGGTGTGAGATGTCTGGCTGTCCGCCTCCCCCCCAGTCCCCCTGGCCCCCGGAGATCCGAAATTCCATTACGGTACGTTCGTGCGTCGTCGGCGCGCGGTGCAAAGGTTTGTGACACCGCATCGATCGTTCAACCTTCGATCGATCGCGGCCACGATCGTTCAAGGTTGAATTCCGTCGGGTCCAATGGCGTTACCATGTCTCTCGGTGCCTCCGCGTCGCAGAATTCAACCTTGAACGCCTTTGCCGGCGTCGCCCGCGCGTCAACGCCGCATGAACATACCACTAAGGGGTGGGGAACAACGAGCTCGTCGACGCACCTCCAGGGCCGCCAGAGCCTCTAAGTCAACCCTCGGACACCTCTGAGACGCCCAAGATTCCGGAGGGAGCCCAGACGCACCCAATCCACAATGCATTCTCCAAACAGCGCCTGCACTTAGGAGCTCTTGCCCCTCTCATAAGGATCAGGTCGGGCGTGTCCCCCTAGAGGCGGATGTTGGACGGAAAAGTTCGAAATAGCCACACAAAGACACCAAAAATATGCAAACACGGTCAAACCATCGTCCCGAGATGTTTTTTTGTTTAAACTATGTTTGACCATTCCCCCCTGCAGAGGGACAGGCCCGACTTGACATGAGGAGCAGGGCCTCTGCGTCGGCCCGGCCTGGCCGAGGCCGCCCGTCGCCGCCGCCCGCCGCGGCACCGTCTTGGTCACGCCTCGCGCCCGTCGCGCGAGGCTCGCATCTGGGACTGTGCGCCGCCCGGCGCGCCCGTCGCTCGGCTACACTCAAGTCGGGCCTGTCCCCCTACAGGGGGATCTTCGACGAAAAACAGAAAATACTCCAAACATGCTCCCAAATGGCCAAAACATACTAAACAAATCGTCCCCAGCCTATTTTTTGAACTATTTTTGAACATTCCCCCTGTAGAGGGACAGACCCGACTTGAGGCTACACGCAAGAGTGACCCTGGGTAAGAGTGACCTTTGCTGCGCGGCTTTCTGCGACCGCGGGGGGGGGCCCAAAGCAGGCGCCCAAGCCGCTGCCACCGCTTTTCTCCTTCGGCCACCCGGGGGCCCCTCCGTGCCCGCACCCAGAGGTCACTCCGGCGAGAGGTCACGCCTACGCCCAGTCGAGTCGCGCGAGGCTCGCATCGGGGACTGTGCGCCGGCCTGGGCTTCGCGGCCGCCCGCCGCCGCCCGCAGCCGCCGCCCGTCGCCGCACCTGCGCGGCTCTGCAGGTGCTTCGCGTTGCTGGCCATCGCTTCGCATTGCTTCGCATCGCTCTGCACTGCGTGGCATCCCTTCGCGTCGCTTGGCATTGCGTTGCATCGCTCCAGATGGCCTCGCCTTGCTTCTCATTGCTGTTCATTCCTCTGCACTGCGTTGAATTACCTTGTATTGGCTCGCGCTGCTTTGCATTGCTTTGTATTGCTTCGCGTTTCTGTGCATTGCGCTACATTCCTTCACATTTGCTGGCATAGCATTGCAATGATTGATCGTGCTCTGCATTGTGTTGCATAGTTTGAATTACCGTGCATCACAGTACATTGTCGTGCATTACTGTACATCGCGTTGCACTGCGTTGCATTCCGTTGACTTGTCTTGTATCGTACTGCCTTGCTGTTCATTGCGTTGCGTTGCGTTGCGCTGCTTTGCATTGAGTTGTATTGCTTTGCATTGCTTTGCAATTGCGTCGCATACATCTTCCTCGCTTTAAGAGAAATAAGCTCTACACCCCCATAGATTATCGGCACACCCTTTTTGTATTGCAATTAACATACTTTCCTGCCCCATCGTCCATCCTAAACATGAGGTCGTACCATCCCTGGCAGCAAGATGTACCCCCCACGTCATCCTCTGCAAACAAAATATGCGATGCGCGCGCACTCATGAATAGCGAATCCTAAGTGTTCAAGAATATCTTGATAAAAACCGGGACGAACTGCATACGCGCGCGCATGTCGACATCCTTCAAAAAAAACATCGGCTCCGTAAGGATTTCATCATCGAATGTCCAGACGAGATATAATTAGCCTGGCGAAGGACTCAAACAGATGCAATTGTTCGTACGGCAATTGTGAATATGACCTTCGGTGGCACGACCTTCGCGGCCACGAAGCGTGTGAAGGGTGTGCCGAAATTGGTGTTGGCGGCGCATGTGGACTGTGGCACAGGGGCCTCCGGCGACGCTCCCTATGAGGCCACGCAACGTGTGAAGGGTTTGCCGACATGGGTGTTGGGGACGCATGTGGACGGTGGCTCTGGGGCCTTTGGTGCAGCTCCCGATGGGGCTACGAAACGTGTCAGGGGTGTGCCGACATGGGTATGGGGAACGCAAGTGCACGGTGGCACTGGGGCCTGCGGTGGAGCTCCCTATGGGCTCACAACATGTGTGAGAGGTGTGCCGAAATTGGTGTGGCATGCGGGCGGTAGCACTGGGCCTTTCGGTGGAGCTCCCGATGGGGCCACGAAACTCGGGGTGTGTGTGCCGAAATGTGTATGGGAGGCGCATGCAGGCGGTAGCACTAGGGCCTTCGGTGGAGTTCCCGGTGGGGCCACGCAACGTGTGAGGGTGTGCCAAATTCGTTGTGGGGAAAGCATGCGGGCGGTGGCACTTGGGCCTTCGGTGGAGCTCCCTATGGGGCCACGAAACGTGTGAGGGTTGTGCCAAATTGAATGTGGGGGACGCATGCGGTACCCCACGCAACTGGGTGGAACACCGGCGGCGCGGCCGGCCCAGACAGCAGTGGGCTTCCCAAGTGTACGAGATGACGCAGCACATCTGAGGCCCCACCTCCCCCGTCCTTGTCTTCCTCCCCTCGCCTTGTTTTTTCCCTTTTTCCCTCTACGTGTACCTCGGAGCAGTATGGTGTTCCATTTTCTGCTTCACAGTCGCGTTGCGCTCCGCTGCCTGCTTCACAGTCGTGGGGCGCTCAGCATTCTCGCTCTCGGTTGCAGTTCTTCTGAAGAGTCGCCAATTGCGCGCTCTTCCGCCCACGCGTCCTACCGGATGCACGGCTTAGTGGTGGTGGTGGTGGACGCATGCGGGCGGTGGCATTGGGGCCTTCGGTGGAGCTCCGTATGGGGCCACGAAACGTGTGAGGGGTGTGCCGACATGGGTATGGGGAACGCATGCGTGCGGTGGCAGTGGGGCCTGCGGTGGAGCCCCGCATGGGGCCACGAAACGTGTGAGAGGTGTGCCGACATGGGTGCGGGGCAGCATGCGGGCGGTGGCATTGGGGCCTTCGGTGGGGCCCCCTTTTATGGGGCCAAGAAACTCGGGAGGTGTGTGCCGAAATGGGTGTGTGGAACGCATGCGGGCGGTGGCACTGGGGCCTTCGGTGGGGCTCCCTATGGGGCCACGAAACACATGAGAGGGGGTGCCACATTGGGTTTGGGGGACGCATGCGGGCGGTGGCCCCGGGGCCTTCGGGTGCCGAAATGGGTGTGGGGGACGCATGCGGGCGGTGGCACTGGGGCCTTCGGGTGCCGAACTGGGTGTGGGGGACGTACGCGGGCGGTGGCTGCGGGGCGTTCGGTGGACCTCCCTCTGGGGCCAAGAAGCGCTGTACTGGGTGGTGAAACGCAGGGAGGGGTGAGGAGGGGGAGGAGGAAGGAGGGGGCGGAGGAAGGTGAACGCGGGGACAGTTCCTTCAAAACGAAGACCCCACACCATAGGATGGTTGGGAAAAAGCGAATGGTCTCGCAACGCGGGCTTCCCAACAAAAGCTTGTGCGCACACTGCTGCGATTGTTTGCGGAAGCCATGGGTACTTCAAACTATGTCGCACCATGCTACCAAGCGGGCTTCGCGCGCACGCATGTCGAAATCGTTAGAATGCCCTTGCGCGCGTGCTGGGGTGGCACGGCCCGTGTCAAATAGTACCAAGCGGGCCACTCTCGCGCGTCTGCCGCGCGCGCACTATTTCCAAAACTTGCATAACCGACGCGATGAAGCCGCCATCGTCGTCGGCACTATCGGCATCGGCGCCGTCACTGGCTGCCCCGTCGTCGCGATCGACATCGCCACCAGATCGCTACTATCATCATCGTGTCTACCGTTGCCGACGTTGCCATGATACCGCGCCCGCCCAAGTCGCCGACGGGTCAGCGCCACCGCGTTCGCGTAGGTCGCGCCAAACTAGCTGGCCGCTGCGTGCGCGAGCATGCGCGGGCTAGCGCGGCCGCAGAGATGCACCAGCCAACACCAAGCTCTCATCGCAATCGTTCCCGCATGGGTGTTGCAAGTCAAGTTGCGCGTGGGTGGGTGGGATGCTTGCGCGAGCAGTGGAGGTGACAACTTCAAGTCCGACAAGTGAATTGCACCACCTAGATGTACCACATTGCTTCTTCTTTCTGGAAGCAAAACGGATTCTACCACCCTCCCCCCCGGGAAAAATACCCCCCAAGAACCAATGTAAAACACATAAGATTCGGCCCCAATGTCCATCCGACATATGAATTCATACTATCCCAGCCAAGCTGGTACCGGTTCCCCCGCCATCCTCTGCAACAAACGGTATGCGCGCACACTCGTTTATCACAACTCAAAGGCTTTAAATAATCCCTTGCAAAAAAAAGACGGAGTGCGCACGCGCGCGTCGTCGCGCGCGCATGCCGAAATCTTTCTAAAACCGTTGGTTTCGAGTTTCCAACAAACAAAGAAAAAACGACAGGTTTCGCAACACTGACTCCCTAAAAAAGCTTACGCGCGCGCTCGGCGTCGTCGTCGTCGTCGGTGTCGTCGTCGTTGCCGGCGACGTCGTCGTCGTCGTTGTCGCCGTCGAAGTCGTTCGAGACTTCGTCGGTTTCGTCGTAGTCGTTGTCGGCGGGGTCGTCGTAGTCGTTGTCGAAGTCGTCGTCGGCGTCGGTGTCGTTGCCAAGTGCCGTTTGGTACCCACCGTCACGGTCCTAGGAGGTCTAGCGACCAAGTTGCGGGTGGGAGGGTGGGATGTTTGCACGAACAGTGGGAGAGGACAGCTGCAAGTTGAGCAAGTGATTGATTGCACCACCTAAGTTGCACCGTATAGATTGCAATCTATCACCGTCGGGGCCCACGCTGGCTAACATCCGTACATCACTTGTGTCTGTTGTGTGTGCTGTGTGTGAGTGTGAGTCTGTTGCTACCCCGCCCCGTCAACGCCACCGAGAGGGTCCAGGACCCCTCCATAGGCGCCGAGGGGGGCCCAAAAGGCTGCAGAGGCGTCCCAAGGCGGCTTCGAGACTCCCACACACGGCCAGAAAACCCTCCAAAATTACCCCAAGAATCCGGAAGGGACGCCAAGACGGCCCCAACAGGCCCCGAGAACGCCCCAAGGGAGCGCTCCCGCAGACCCTACACGATTCAACAAGGGCCACGAAACAAGCCCACATGTTCGGTTGCACACGCGTCCGGGACATAGCCACTCAAAACCTGCAGATTGGAAGACTTGCGTGCTAGATCCTCTTTGGCGGCCCGCCAGGGTGTTCTGCCAGGGTGTTTCCCCTCCTCCCCTGATCCTCCTCCTCCTCCTCCTCCTCCTCCTCCTCGCCACAAACCCGTCTACCTGTCGGGGGCAAGCGGATAACAACGTAAGCCTCTTGAATCATGCAAGCTCGGGTCCTTCCCACGGGTCTTCTCATAGAGCTTGTCACTGCTTGTCTTGATCTGCACCTCGGTCAGGCCCAACTGCCGGAGCAACGAGGCGACCTCGTACCTTTGCAGAGTGCCAGCGCCTGCTGTGAGGGGAGGAGGGGAGGAGGTGGAGGCCGAGAAGGGTTGGGGGAAGCAGGGGGGGGGGGACAGGGGAGGAGAGCGGGATGAGGCGGCGGAGACGGGGGTGGGTGGGAGAAAAGCGCATGCCGCGGCCTCTGGAGTCTGCGTCTCTGAACATCTTGCCCAACGCCTTGTCCGAAGGCACGTTCCACAACCCCCAGCTAGCTCGGAGCCCCCCGTCGACTGGCTGCGCAATTACATCTCCTCGGAGAAGCCAAAGTGAACATCCTCTCCATGGGGCCTGCCTCCCCAGACCTGGTGTGTGCTTTGTGTGTGCTGGGGCATCTTCTTGCAGCGCAGACTACAAGCATTTCCAGAATGTGAGATAACCTTAGCTCGGTTTGACGCCTCTGCCTCCTCCCCTGCTCTTCCCCTTCCCCGCTTTGCCCGTTCCCGTGACCATTCTGCTCTCAGCCGCTCGCTCGTTGCCGCTGTGGCCTAGGCCGGTCTCCCGCAGATAGCTGGAGCTCTGGCCCGCTGAGGCCAGAAAAGACGCTATCCTACCATATTAGCTCTCAGACGGGCCACAATCGCCGCGCACCCTTCCGATACCAGAAAGTTGTCCCGTGACGAGTGGAGAGGCACAGAAACGAGAAGCGCCCAACTCTTCCTCCCGTGACTCCCTCCCTCCACACATGCCGGCCACACGCAAGAGTGGCCCTAGGCAAGAGTGACCTTCAGTGCGCTGCCAAGGGGGGGCCTTTGGGGACACCGCCAGGCGCGCAAGCCGCTGCTATCGCATCGCATTCAGCGACCGGGGGGCCCAGCTGGGCCGGCACCAGGGGTCACTCTGGCAAAGGTCACCCCTACGTGAAGTCGAACATGGTGGCGTCCAGTTAGTAGCAGCACCACGGGCGCGCGGTCGCACGCACTTTGTATATTTGGAGGTCGGAAAGGGGTGTGGCAAAAAGGGGTATGGTGCCGATCGCGGAAGTGGCGATGCTGCGATGAATAACATCACCAGATTCGCCTGTACATGAAATTAACACCACACCCCTTTACACGAACGATACCCCTTTAGAGACCTCCTAGATGGGGTCGGAGTAGATGGGGTCGGAGGATCGCGCCGCATCGCCGATACACCAGCGATGAATCAGTGATGCATCGACGATGCATCGGCGGTGCACCAGCGATGCATCGTCGACAGGGGCGATGCATCGGCGACGTCGACGTTAAGCAAATCGGGCTCCACATCGAGCCGCACCGGCGATGCCTCGGCGACGCGGCGCGATCCTCCGACCCCATCTACTCCGACCCCATCCAGGAGCCCCAGACCCTCTCCGACCTCCAGAGTTTCCTCCCAGGCCCAGCGAAAACGCGCGGGCCCGTCGGGCGGCTCCAACACATAAAGAGCCCCATCGAGAGGGGACGGCAGGGGGCGGGGCGCGGAGCGGCCGCGGACCAGGGAGGGGCCAGCTCAGGCCGGTGCAGGTCTCGGTCAGCGGGCGACGGCGCGTGCGCGGCGAAGCGACGCGCGAGGCGCTTGATGCGCAGTCACACACACAAACACACACACACACGCACAAACACACACACACAACACACACAACATACGACCCACGCACAGTCACACACACACACACACAACACACAGCACACACGCACACACAAACGCAAAACGCACATACACACACACACACGCACGCACAAACTCACACACACACAACACACACGCACGCACAAACACACACACACAACACAGTCAACACACGCGCAGTCACACACACAACACACAACACACACAACACAACACACAACACACACACACACACGCACACACACACACACACGCACACACCTTGGCGGCGCGCATCAGGGGGCATGGGGCAGGGGGGAAGGCCTCTTGGAAGGAGACTGGTTTCCAGAATGCGCGGGCCTCCACCTGCAGACAAGGCCCGCGCCTTCGAAGAGGCAGGAGGGCTTTTCTAAGAAGACCGCGCCCCTTCCCCCCCCCCACCCCCCCCCTCTGCGCGTGGCCGGCACCCTTTGAGCAGGGACCGACCGTCCCGGCATTCCTATAGTCATACCACGAAATGTTGCTTAGAACATTGTTTGGTAGGGCTATAGGCGAGCCAGGACGCTTCGCCACTGCTTGAAACCTTGCTTGGAGACCAGGATGGGGTGACCCGTGCGACGACGGGCAGGGGCGCAACGCCCTCGAGAGGACGCCGCTGCAGGGCATCCCCGCCCCCCTGCTGCACCATGCCACCTGCTGCCGCCCGAAGGCGTGTTGAGGCCATGAGCTCGCGACCGGGTGCGGCACCCAGGAAAGTAAGAGGCCATAGGAGGCCAGGCACTCGCTGGCGAGTGCGGCGCCCACGGCCGTCGGAAGCCTTCGGGAGGACATGTGGGGTCCGGCACCCACGGGGCGGCAATCCAGGCCCTATGAGGTCATAGGAGGCCAAACCCCCACCGCCAAGGGCGGCACCCTTGGCCCCAGGAGGGCACACGAGACCGTAGGAGGCCAGGAAACGGGCGAGTGCAACACCCAGGCCCACAGGAGGCAATCGGTGGCCAGTGGAGGCGACCGGAGGACACAGAAGGCAGAGCGCCCACGGGCAAGTGCGGCACCCGGAGCCATGGCAGGCCGACCGCTACGGCAAAGGGCCACAGAAAGCCAGGTGCGGTCACAGGGCGTGAAGCTCCCACGACCGAGTGAGGCACCCAGGGCCATAAGAGGCCCTGGGCGGCCATAGAAGGCGCAGCCCCCACGGGCGAGTGCGGCTCCAGTGGGCCGAAGCCATGGCGGGCCAGCGGAAAACACCGGAGGCCAGGGGGGGCACGGGGGCCAAACATCCACGGCCCCTCTTCCGGCACCCAGGACCGCTGTCTCGGAGCTCCAGCAGGAGCTCTTGAATGCAATCAGTTCACCACCGTGCTCCCTGGCACGTTGAGGAGTGGAAGAATGACACGGACTGTCTGGTCGGGTTTCTGCAGTCTGAACAGATTCTAAATCACCCCTCCCATGCACGCCCTCACGTGGCCATGGCCCAGGGTTACAAGACAACTGATATGCGCGCCCGAAGCCATCCCGAGGCAACGTCACGACCCCCTATAGAAACAACGGGTCTGCACTTACGAGGTGGCGGTTCGCGTTCCCGAAGCCACGTCCCCTTGAACAGAAATGCTGGACTCGCGCTCCCGAACTTCCAACCGAGGCGGGCAACCAATTTCGTCAAGATGGCCCACGACGCCTCCAGGACGGCCCAAAATGGTCTCACGACGGCCTACGATTGCCCATATCATAAGAGCCCCTTCTTGGTTGTCCTTCGAAAACTTGGGCGTCTTCGCCGTGTCTGCTCTCTGCAGTTCCGAACGGCCCCAGAGGCCTCCGGGATGGCGCCAAGACGGCCCAACAGAGCCCCCAAATTGCAAAACACCACTCCAAGATGGCCTCGAACAAACCTATGAAAGCTCCTAAACCGCCCAGGATGGCCCCAAGAGGGCCCCGAGCTGGCCCAAGATGGCCTCCGGGGGGGGTCCCGAAAAGGCCTTGGAGGGCCCATCGGCGACCCAAGACGCCGCACGAAACCCCCCAGACGGTCAAGAAGGCACCGAGACTGCTCAAGAGAGCCCCACGATGGCCCAAGACTGTCAAAATGGCCCAAGTAGAGGGCAGAATGTCCACCCCGATAATACCCACCCCGACACGCGAAGCCGTTTAGTAAACGCACCCGAAAAATCCGAAGGGCAGGGCTGTTTAGTAAACGCCCAGGGCCGTTTAGTAAACGCAATTGTCTGGTCCGGGTGGCTTTTCCTTCCTTGACCAAGGGAACCCCAGATCTGCCGAGCAGGAGCCCAAGAAAGGACAGAAAGGGAGGAAAACGACGACGACAACGAGACGAGAATCCCCGACACGACGTGGAAGAGTGCGTCACATGTCACGACGCTCCCAAGCCTCGGGACACGCGGTGTCACACGTTACGGCCTCCTGTGTCCCACGCAGTCAGAGGCAGCAGCGTGGAATGGGAACTCCCCGCTGCAATGTCTCGGCGGAGAACCGCGGGTCACGCCCGGAGGCCGCGAGGAGGACATCCACCTCCACGCCCATATCCTCCTTGACGCCCACCACCTCATCCTCCCCCGCCCTCCGCAACAAGCACCTGCTCGTGCACCTTCTCAAGCAGCACCACCCTGGCATCCCCCTCCCCATCGTACACCTTCATCTCCTGGCCATCCTGGTCCTCCTCCCCCTCCTGTTCGTCCTCCTCCTCCTCCTCCTACTCCTCGTCGTGCTGCTCCTCCTCCTCCTCCTCCCTTAAGTCCTCCTCGTCTTCCTGCGCCAGATCATGAATAAGACGCGGCAGACTGCATGAATAAGACTGCGCCGAAGGACCTACTTCCGCGGGCAGCTTGCGCGCGGGTGAACGCGCAATCGATCCACGTGGCATCGCCCCCCCCAATTTCAAAGTAGGCGGTGCAACAGACCGTTTCTGTCAAAGCCGCGTCTCCCCCCTCGGGGGCGGTTAACCCACCCATCCCGCTAGCAGACCGTGGAGGCCTTGGATAAGGAATCCAGGGTCTGGAGCCTTGAAGAGATCCACTTGCGCGGAACGGGGGGGGGGCAGAAGTTGTCCGCCCCCGTTCATTGTGAGCTCTCGTTGCCCTCCCCCCGTCTCCCCTCCCTCCTCCCCTACTTCCTCCTCCCTCCCGCCTCCCTCCTCCCTCCCCCCTCCAACCCACCTCCCTCCCGCCCTTCCTCCGCCTCAGATCTCCTGGAGGAGGACGGCAGGTGAGCGGTGCGGTTGCGGATGCGCGCCCGAGGGCGGGTTGAAATGTGTCGCCCAGTTGGGGTTGCGGTTGCGCGCCCGCGGGCGGGTTGAAATGTGTCGCCCAATTGCGGTTGCACGCCCACGGACTGGTCGAAATGTGTCGCCCAGTTGCGGTTGCGCGTCCGCGGGCGGTTTGAAATGTGTTGTTCAAGGTGCCCTCCTGACGTTCAGTCAGTCAATCAGTCAGTCAGTCAGTCACCGGCGGGCACGGAATTTCACCCGGCTCCGCTGGGAAAAATCGCCCAAGAAAATGTTGGGTTGGCACGGTGGCGCGGCTTGCAGCAGACAGTTGGATGTCCAGGGAATGATGGAACGGGCGAGAGGTAGGATGATGAACAGAGATATGTTCACGGTACGACAGGAGTTCGCTGCGAGAGAAGGCGCACTTCGGATATATAACAGAAGCTCATTGGAGAGAGTTCTATGAACTGTATGGAAATCCTGTTATCCTCACCCCCTGGCACACCAGGTAGTGAGGCCAACAACTGCGCTTCCTGCGCCGCTTCCAGCAAATTTGGCGATATCTGAGTGGATCCGGCGCAGACTCCCAGCCCTCGTTCGGGATAACCTCGCAGGAGTAGCCACAGGAGAGAGGCCATGAATGCTTCCTGCACAGTTCCCGAACAAACGATACTCTGCATCTATATAAGATAAATGGAGAAACTCCCGATCAACCGCAAAGCGGTCGTGATCCTGCTTGCTCCTCGTCTTCCTACTTCGTCCGCGTCCTCCTGCTCCTCCTCGTCCTGCTTGCCTCGCCCTCTGCACGCTCCGCTTACTCCTCCTTGACGCGCAGCCCGCCCAGGCCATGAGGCGGCCTTCCACGGCAAGAGACCTTGACAGAAAGAAAGCAGCACGTCGCGGATTCCGGAAACCATGAACCCAAAAACGTTCTCATCTCTTGGGAGCGCACGTTTCACTTCCGCCACCTTCCGCCAGGCCTTCCGCCAGCTTCCGCTGGCGGAGGCGGCCTCGGTTTACTTCCGCCGACCTTCCGCCGCCTTCCGCGGCGAAAGAGATGGCAACTCCTTCGGCCCTCGAAGGCGAGGGCCTTTCTGGAGCGCCCTGTGTAGTACAGCCGTCGCGCTGCCATCAGGAACGCCAACCAAGGAACGAAGGGGTCTCTCTGGACACGGCGAACCTCGGCTTTCGAAGAGGCTCTCCGAGCCCAAAACTGTCCTTACTGCAGAGTCTTGGAGCACAGCAGGAGCTCGACCACAAGAAACCTTCCAGAAGAAACCCGACCCTGAGACCCCAGGACGTCCAATGATTTCTGGTGTGGGAACGTCACGCCTTCCATCGCAAAACCTCCGAAACCCACAAAACCCAGGGCACCCTGGAGGCAAGCAGGGTCATTATTGGCATGGATTTCCACTGTGTCCGCTTGCTCCCCGATGCTGGGCTCTCAGAAGTTGAGCAGGGACCGACTGTCCCGGCATTCCACCAGTCCTACCGTGATCTGTTCTTAGAACCCAAGAATGTTCTAATAACAAAGCAATGTTCTTAGAACGTAAACCCGATGTGATAAAACACGACAGACTCTGCCAGACATGTTCTAAGAACACGTCGTGGAAACCACAAAAAATGCATTGAACATTGCTTCTTAAGGCTAGAGGCGAGCCAGGGCGCTTCGCCACTGCCTTAAGACCGGAAAAAAACAGGCCCAAGTGCGCAATCCCCAAGAGCAGGGGGGACGGGATGCCCCTTCGGAGCGCAGGGGCGGAGGAGAAGCTGCGCAAGGCCCAGGCCCCGCCCAGACCTCCTCCTCCTCCTCCTCATCCTCCTCCGCCTCCTCCTCCTCCTACTACTCCGACTCCTACTCCTACTCCTACTCCTACAACTACTACTACTACTACTACTACTACTACTACTACTACTACTACTACTACTACCACTACTACTACTACGACTACTACGACTACTACGACTACTACGACTACTACGACTACTACTACTACTACTACTACTACTACTACTACTACTAATACTTACTACTACTACTACTACTACTATACTACTACTACTACTACTACTACTACTACGAT